CACTACATTCCAGCCTGGGTGACAGACCGAGACTCCACCTCAAAAAAAAAATTTTTTTTAACCTTTAATTTTTTAACTTATTTTAGAGACAAGGTGTCACTATTTTGCTCAGGCTGTCCTCAAACTCCTGTGCTCACGTGCCTCAGCCTCCCGAGTAGCTGGGACTACAGGCATGCACTAACTACCATACCCAGCTCCTGGAAGGCTGACCTGTGACTGTCAGTGTTCCTGCGGCTGAGGGACGTAAAGAGCTGGACTTCCTGCCATTTACTGATCCAGATCCCCCTGGATTTCAGCTGCCCCTCACTCCTCCCTCTCCTGTTGCCTGGTACTCCTGTGTCTGGAGACTCTCTTGTTCTTCTCTTTCACAGAACAAATCTGTCGTCTCCAGCCACAGCAGGGAAGGCTCTTTAAACATAGTCCTAGTTCTGTAAGGAAGAAGAGGAAAATTGACTCCGAGCAGATGTGGGAAAGACTTTTGGCTGTTTATGCAAACCCCCTTCCTTTTGCCCTTCTTTCTGATTTTCCTCATCTCTGAATGGCCTTGGCAAGGGATCTGCTTGTATGACACAATTCAGTCCAATCAGAAGTGATGGGAAATCTACTGAGAGCTTCTAGAAGAGCTTATCTTACTTGGTAGAAGGATTATAAAATAGGGCCATTCCCTCTTCTACACCTGGACATTGTCCTGTGGAAATGGGATGCTTAGAACTGCTTCTATCCTTCTCAATCATGAAGGGAAGGTCAATAAAAAGGAATCACAGAGAAGGTGATCTGATGACTGTCTTTGAACCCTTAGATTTAGATTAATCATCTCTAGCTGAGCACAGTGGCTCACACCTGTAATCCCAGCACTTTGGGAGGCTGAGGTGGGTGGATCACGAGGTCAGGAGTTTGAGACCAGCCTGGCCAGTATGGTGAAACCCCATTTCTACCAAAAATACAAAAAATTAACCAGGCATGGTGGTGCACACCTATAATCCCAGCTACTCGGGAGGCTGAGGCAGGAGAATTTCTTGAACCCAGGAGGTGGAGGTTGCAGTGAGCCAAGATTGCACCACTGCACTCTAGTCTGGGCAACAGAGCAAGACTCCATCTCAAAAAAAAAAAAAAAAAAAGATTAACCATCTCTAGAACCAGCCTAAAGACTCCTTAATATGTGGGGTAATAAATACACTACACTCTAAGCCCTAGAATGCAGTCTCAGGACCAGTCAAATCAGCATCACCTGGCATCTTGTTAGAAACACAGACTCGGCCAGGCACAGTGGCTCATGCCTGTAATCTCAGCACGACAGGAGGCCAAGGCAGGTGGATTGCTTGAGCCCAGGAATTTGAGACTAGCCTGGGCAGCACATCAAAGCCCCATATCTATCAAAAAAAAGTTAGCCAGGTGTCGTGGTACACACCTGTAGTCTTAACTACTTGGGAGACTGAGGCAGGAAGACAGCTTGAGTCCAGGAGGCAAAGGTTGCAGTGCACTGTGATTGCGCCACTGCAAACCAGACTGGGTGATAGAGTGAAATCCTGTCTCAAAAAAAAAAAAAAAAAAATGCAGATTTCATTCCAGACCTAATGAATCAGGATCTATATTTTTAACAAGATCCTCAAGGGATTAATGCTCACTAAAGTTTGAGAAGCACTTTAAGCCATGTTCAGCTGTTTCCTTCTTCCTTGTGGCTGAACACACATTCTAATTGATGGTGTTGGTGTAGTAGACTCCTTGAATGCCTTGTGTCACATTGCTTTGGCCCACTGATTTTAGGAACAGTTTTTAGGCAGAACTCTTAAGATGTCCCCCACCAAGATTCCTGCCCTCTGGCCATTCAATCAAAAATAATCTAGTTACTGTTGTGAAGGGACTTTGTGGAATGGAATAAAATTTACAAATTAGTTGACCTTATATTTTGTAATTTTTTTTAATTAAAAAATACTTTTAGAGATGAGGTCTCCCTATGTTGCCCAGGCTGGTCTCTAACTTCTGAGCTCAAGCCATCTACCCACCTTGGCCTCCTAAAGTGCTGGGACAGGTGTGAGCCATTGTGCCTGGCCCCTTTTTTTGGGGGGGGGGGTGGAGTAGAGACAGTGTCTTGCTATATTGTTCAGGCTGGTCTCGAACTCCTGGGCTCGAGTGATCCTCCCGTCTCGGCCTCCCAAAGTGCTGAGATTACAGGCATGAACCACCACATTTGGCCATAACTGACCTTAAACAGGGGAAGCTACTGTGGGTTATCTAATGACATCTCATATATTACCCGAGTTCTTAAAACCAGAGGAGGAAGGTAGGAGAGAGAGGTAGAAAGGGAGATCAGAGAGATCCAAAGTGTGAAGGGACAAGCTCTGATGTTTCTGGCTTTGAAGATGGAAGAAGAGGCCTATAAGCCAAGAAATGCAGCAGGCCTCTAGAAACTGAGAAAGACCCCCAGCTGACAGTCAGCAAGCAGATGGGGGCCTCAGGCCTGCAATTGTATAGAACCGAATTCTGCCATTGAGCTGGACATAGATCCCTTCTAGAGCCTCCAGAAAGGAGCATAACCTGCCAGTGCCTTAATTTTGGCTTTGTGAGATTCCAACCAGAGAACCCACTAAGCCACACTGTGCCTAGACTTCTGACTTATAGAAATCGAGAGATAGTAAACTTTTATGCTGTTTTAACTGCTAAATTTATAGTAATTTGTTACGACAGCTTAAAAAATGAGTATATCTAGGATGGATGGTTCTGTGCAGGCTAGTCTTCCTTGCACTGGCAGCATCCCACTTGAATAAATAATGTGTCTGTCTCTCTTTATACCTGCCTCAAAACCTTCTCTGATGTCCTGGGAGCCCGCTTGGCAACAGGAGGCCAGAAGTACAAGAGTACATGGAAGTTAACTCCCCTAGGGAAAATGCTTGACCAGTGGAGGAGGGGAGTCAGTAGATAATTGCTTCAACCTGATACCTCCTAACTCTGCAAGGCATTTGTATACTTCTGAAGGGCCTGACAGAATTAAGGCCCTATTATCGATAGCAGCAACATCCTCAGTGCATCACTGGTTTGGCTTTTCTTTTGTTCTTGTCTCATTCTCTCCAATTCCTAACTCTTGCTTCCTGAGATTACCACCCAAATTACCTCCTGTTCCCAAGTCCCCTTCTCAGTCTTGTCAGAGATTGATAGGCAATCAATAATCGGCTCCATCGGCTCGCCTTGCTCTTAATAAAAGGGTAACTTCTAGGAAGAATGGTCCAGTGTTTCACACTGCTACTAGGCTGCCAGGAAAACTGAAATCAGGACTCCAGTACCACTAAGTTTCTCTCTGTCTCTTTTCCCTTCCCTCTAGTGGCATTATCTTGTTTGTTTGTTTGCTTGTTTTTTATTTGTTTGTTTGTTTTGTTTTGTTTTTGAGATGAAGTCTCACTCTGTTGCCCAGGCTGGAGTGCAGTGGCATAATCTTGGCTCAGTGCAAACTCCGCCTCCTGGATTCAAGTGATTCTCCTGCCTCAGACTCCCAAGTAGCTGGTACTACAGGCACAAACCACCATGCTGGCTAATTTTTGTATTTTTAGTAGAGACAGGGTTTCACTCTGTTGGCCAGGCTGGTCTTGAACTCCTGACCTAGTGATCCGCCCACCTCAGCCTTCCAAAGTGCTGGGATTACAGGCGTGAGTCACTGTGCCCGGCCTTGTGTATCTGTTTTTGAAAGAGGGTCTCACTCTGTCACCCAGGCTGGGATGCAGTGGTGTGATCACAGCTCACTGCAGTCTTGACCTCTCAGGCTCAAGTGATCCTCCCACCTCAGCCTCCTGAGTAGTTGGGAGTACAGGCATGTGCCATGATGCCTGATTGATATATTTTAATTTTTTGGAGAGATGAGGTCTCACTATGTTGCCCAGGTTGTTCTTAAAAGCCTGAACTCAAGTCATCCTCCCACCTTGGCCTCCCAAAGTGCTTTGATTACAGGCATGAGCAAATGGTATTATCTTTAAAGAAGATGAAATCTCTCCTCTGGACCAGAGAGAAAAATCCCCAAAAATGATTGGAATTGATGCCTTTGAATCAGTATCCATGACTGGTCCAATGGGGGATGAGATGGTATCATTTGCTCATCTTGGGTCAGAGTTCTAGCCCTGGGTCAAACCATCATGGCCAGATGGCAGTGTCAAGGACCCCAGGCATGGCCAGTGGGGGCCACAATTGTTTCAGGGCATTCCCAGAAATAGAGGAATGACTGGGAGCTGGGGAAAACTTTCCACTGGTTTTCCAAAATGACCACCACCCACTCTCAATTATATGAGGTCCTTGTTAATGATTCTGTTTCCTTCTAAGGCTCTCTCCTTCCTCTGCCTGTCCCCAAAAATGCTGGTGTACCTGAGATTTCCACCCTTACCTGTTTTCTTCTCACTTTCTATTCCCAGAGTCACCTTATTCTTTAGTAGACATGGTATTCTCTCCAACGTTTAACTCACTCCACAAATTTAATCTAATCTAGTCATAGTAATTCTATCCCTCTTCAGCAACAATTTATCTGGCATAAAAAGGCCTAAACCAGATTAGACCAATGAGATTCAAGGAGATGTTTGTCTGGGACTTCTGGGAAAGAGAAATCAATCTTACCCATGCCTGTTGAATGGGAAGAGGAACCAATGGCCATAGCAGTCATTTTGTGATATGAGGGGAGCTGGCTTTGTATATGAAGTCAATGGTGGGGAGAGTAGAGCAGTGCCACAGGAGCATCTCAGGTTCCTAATGACATTGTTGGATCAGAGAATACACCCACTCTGCCCTGCCACTGGGCTTCTTGCTTTGCAAGCTGATACACTGGCATATTCCTTAAGCCAAGCTGAATGGGGTATCTGCGACCTGGAGCTGGAGGCATTCCACTTCATTCACACTCACCACCATAAAGTCTCTCAAGCTCACTTTCCTGGGTTGCAGGGCTAGCAAGACTTCCCAACCTTGCTGTTCCTCTTCCCGGGTCCCCTACAATTCTTTTTACTTAAGCAGTAAGAACTGGGTGCCGGCCATGATCCCAAGCTCTGTTTTAGACATGAAGACAGGCAGTGAAACAAAGCTGCTGTCATTGCGGACCAGCGAAGGAGGCATATGATAGACAAAACTATTGTCTGAATAAACGAAGCAATGAATAATGCAGTGTAGGAACTCCGTCGATGTCGTCAATATCGAGTGAAAAGCTTATCTACAGACTATCACACCAGGGACTGGTACTCACGCAAACGGTGCTAGCAAGTGTCACCTCCTGTTCCAGCAGCCCTTGGCTTCTAACAAGGTAAATAAGACGGGGCCTGCCCTCTGGAGCCCAGAATCCAGGAAGAAAGGCGCACATGTATTGAGTGCTTGCTTTTCAGGCCCCGTGGAAGTGCTTTATGGGAACCATCTCATTTAATCCTCCCCGACTCTAGAAGGTTTTCCCGGGAGAGACCGCTCCGGACGACACCGGCATGAGAACAGGCAGGCTGGGCAGTGCAACGAGCTATGGAGAGGGCGTCCTGACCCGGTCAGTGTGACCTTGCGCAAGTCACGGTTGCCCTCCGCCCGCCAGGCCCCGGCCGGCGAATGTAGGGTCCGACTCCTCGGGATTTCCTGACGCCTCTTTCTCCCGGGCTCAGAGGCTGCCCGGGATGTCGGGGAGGGGGTCGAGGGATGGGGGACCTGGGGCTAGAAGGGTGACACTGAGACCCGTAGGGAGGAGACCAGTGAAGTGAGTAAAGGCAGGTGGACGGAGATGGAAATTCTTGGGGTAAGAACCACAGAGGCGCGCTTCCTCCCCTCCCAGTCCCCACTGCCGCCGCCGCTGCGCCGCCCCTCTCCCGCGCTCCGGAAGGCCCGCGTCCCCGCTCCCCGCCCCCCCGCCAGGCGCCGCCACCCGCCGCCCAGACAGCCAGGCGACTCTTCCTCCGCGGGTCGCGCGGGCTGAGTCAGTCCCCTGCTCCGGTGGCCCCGAGCCTGGCCCTTCGCCAGACCTTGCATGGCAGTCGGCGTCTAGTTCCCCCTCGGCTCGCGGCCACTTGGTCCGCGCCGCTGGCGTCCTGTGTGCCGGACCCGCCCCACTGCGGGGACAGGCCGGGCGCCGCCCACGCCGCGCTCCGCCGGGCGCGCAGTCTCTCTGGGAAGCGGGCGGGCGTGCGGACCGGCGGCCATGGCGCGGCGCGCGGGGAGGTAGCAGGGCGGCCGCGGGAGCGCACTGTCGGCCATGGCCCGGCGGCGGCGCCGCGCCTGCATCGCGTTGTTCCTGGTGCTGCTCTTCGCCTTCGGCACCCTCATGGGCCTGCGCACGCTCAAGGCTCCGGACGGACTCCCGGCGCTGGGCCCAGGCCTGGAGCTGGCGCCCTTTGAACGACGCCCGGAGGGGGCCCCCGCACCCGCCGCCAGGGCCCCGGCGGCCCCTGCCGCTCCGCCCCCGCCGCCGCCGCCGCCCCGCACCGCGGACCCTGGCGGTTCCCCTGGGCCGGCCCCCGTGGAGGCCGAGCCCGCCCCCGGGCAGAGCCTGAGAGTCTACTCGGACCTGCACGCCTTCTACTACTCGTGGTACGGGAGCCCGCGGCGCGAGGGCCACTACATTCACTGGGACCACGTCATGGTGCCGCACTGGGACCCCAAGATCTCGGCCAGTTACCCCCGCGGCCGCCACAGCCCCCCAGACGACTTGGGCTCCAGCTTCTACCCGGAGCTGGGACCCTACAGCTCCCGGGACCCCGAAGTGCTGCGGGAGCACATGACCCAGCTCAAGGAAGCCGCCATCGGTGAGCGCCCCCCACCCCGGGTGTCCCTGACCCCAGCTTCGCCCTTCCTCCTCCCCACACCCCAGCTCCCTCTGGTCGTGTCACCGGGCCTTTGGCCCCACTTACCCGCCAACCTGGCTTCTCGGCCGTTCCCTCCCACTCATCACGGGCCCACCATGCGGCACCGCCCCCTCCGTCTAGTATTCAGACCCCAACCTGGGCCCTTTGACCCCTGTCAATCCAGGCCCCTTCCATAGGGCGGAACTGCTGGGAGTTTGCGCCAGAAGAGGCAGAGTCTTCAAATTTGTTGGGCGATGGGAAGTGAGGCCTGGAGCCCTGGCCCTCAGGATCTGGGATTCGGAAGAGTGGAACCTAGGGCGGCCTCTGCTTTCACAGCAGGTACAGGGTAGAGCAGCAGCCCTTCCTGCTTTTGCTGGCTGCAGAGAGGAAACTGCTGGTGTTCCATGAGGGCTTCTGCTCTATTTGCAGTTGGGGGTAGCGCTGCGGGTTTAGAGGCTTTTCATAAAGCACCCAGCTAGAGGGAACGTCCCTGGGCGCCTCCTTTGTAGGCTGGGGAGGGGAGGCTCACTTGTTAAAGGTTTCCGTCACTGAATTCTGCTGGATTTTACAGATGGCCTATGCTGAGGGCTCTTCTCCATGCAGGGCGTTAGGGGTTAGGGGTGCTTCTCTTCAGAGGTAGGCCGTTGGCTACCAGGTGGGTGTGGCACTGTCCACCCGTTCCCTTTGTTCTACTTGCTAATGTACTCTAAAGCCTGACTCCCTTCCGGCCTGGCGCGCTACCGTTCCCGCAGGCGCTGCGCTTCAGCACCGCGGGCGTGGACAGCTCCGGGGCGCGAGGTTTTGAGATCTCATCTGCAGGAAGTGAGCCTGGCAGGAGGCTTGCTCCAGTTTTTTAGGAACCATTTTTGCAATTGGAGATGTTTGTGAGGGAAAAAAATCTATGTTACTGGGTGTCTCTGAAGTAGCTTCTGTATTGTGTCTCAGGCGTTCTGGTTCTGTCCTGGTACCCACCTGGCATGGCTGATGATAATGGGGAACCCTCAGATGACCTGGTACCCGCCATTCTGGACACTGCCCATCAGTACAGCATCCAGGTGAGTCTCCAAGAAGAGGCCATGTGCTCTCTGCCCTATTTTGGAGAGTTGTTCTCCTTCGCCCATAGGGTTAGTGCCTCTAGGAAGTTCTTACAGCAGCCCAGGGAAAACAAGTATGTGTCACATGTGGTTTTGGGGGAGGGTTCAGATAAGTGCTGCCTATGTTACTGTTAGTTTTTTGAATTCTATGAAAACTGAGTAAACTAAATATAGGACCAAGGGCAGATGAAATAATTATCACTTTTGTTAAATAATAGCAGAGGTTAGGTGGTAAACCCTGGTGGATAAAGGGTAGGCAAGAGCCAAAGGGACCTGCAGACTCATCTCTCTAGTGGGAGGCAGTACTGGACCTCGAGGAGTAGACAGGTGATCTCAGCAGGTGCGCTCACTTTCAAGAGGAAAGATGAAGCTGGGCGAAGCATCACCCCACATGGGCCAATCGAGTAAGTCATTCTTTGCTTCTGTGGTGAAGGAAGAAAAATGATAGAGAAGGAAGAAACCCCCCACTCCCCATTCCTAAGGGGAATTCCATCACCGACACATCTAACAGATCACAGCAGTTTCCCACTGACACAGCTTCAGCATACTTCTTCCACTGTTTCAGGCAACCAGCACCAACCACTTGGAGCTGGAACAAGTTGAAACCTATTAGCCACCCGGTAACAGCCCACCAAAATGATTCCCACATGCCCTTCCCACATGTGGGAAGTGGGCAAACTGCTCACCCCTGTTTTGGCCTTGAAGGGCAGCTACTGCCTTTATCTCTACTGTGCCCACAATTGCCAGGCCCTCTTCTGAACTCAGCCTCTCCTCCAGGCCATGGTTAGACCCTGAACCTGGCATGTTGTGGCCCCTGGATAGACACTCACCTGACCAGTTACTCCTCTGTTTGTGGCAGGTGGCCTTCCACATCCAACCCTACAAGGGCCGGGATGACATCACTGTACATGACAACATCAAGTACATCATTGACACGTAAGGCTGCTCTGGGGGCTGGGATTTTGGTGGGGATCAAAATGGAGGTAGGGATAGAAGGTTTGGAGGGGCAGGTCAAGAGACATGGGGCATAATGCCTGTGTTCCCAGCAGTTGTTTTATAGTAAGAGAGTGCTGGGCCTAAAGTCAGGTAACCTGGGTTTCAGTTCCTGTTCTGTGGCCTCTGTGATGAGGCAACTTTTGAGTTTTGTGAGAATCACAGGAGTTAATAATATGTGAAAGTGGCTTCTATTGTGTATGCACATCATATATTCATTCAAAAAGTACTGAATGAGGCTGGGTGCCGTGGTGGCTCATGCCTATAATCCCAGTGCTTTTTTTTCCCCTTTTTGAGATGGAGTCTTACTCTGTTGCCCAGGCTAGAGTACAGTGGCACAATCTTGGCTCACTGCAACCTCCACCTCCTGATTTCAAGCAATTCTCCTGCCTCAGCTTCCTAAGTAGCTGGGATTACAGACACCCACCACCACTCCCAGCTAATTTTTGTATTTTTAGTAGAGATGGGGTTTCACCATGTTGGCCAAACTGGTCTTTAACTCCTGGCCTCAGGTGATGTGAGTCACTGTACCCGGCTTCCCAGTGCTTTGGGAGGCGGAGGTGGGAGAATTGCTTGATGCCAGGAGTTTGAGACCAGCCTGGACAACATAGCAAGACCCCATCTCTACTGAAAAAAAATTAGCTGGGCATAGTGGATACCTGTAGTAGTCCTAGCTACTTGGGAGACAGAGGTGGGAGGATCAGATCACTTGAGCCCAGGAGTTCGAAGTTACAGAGAGCCATGATTATACCATTGCATTCCAGCTGGTAACAGAGCAAGACTCGTCTCTAAAAAAAAAAAAAAGTATTGAGTGCCTACATGTGTCCAGGCACTGTCTTAAGCCCAGTTGTACAGTAATGGGCAAGACTAGCAGTTTCTGAGCTCATAATGTTTACTTTCTAGTGTATGTTGCAGGTACTGTGGAGCAGACAGTAATTAAATGGGAAAAATTAAACAGTGATCTATACAGGATTTTGTGCTAGAGTATGCCCAAGAAACTACTTAAGAGTGGGGTAGTCAGGTCAAGTGAGTCTGAGGAGACAACAGGTGAGCTAACACCTGAATGAGTAGTCAGGGCTGGGTGCGGTGGCTCACACCTGTAATCCCAGCACTTTGGGAGGCAAAGTTGGGAGGATCAGTTGAGGCCAGGAGTTTGAGACCAGTTTGGGCAACATGGGGAGACTCCATCTCTACAAAAAGATTTTTGTTAAGATTAGCTGGGCATGATGATGCACACCTATGGTCCCAGCTACTTAGGGGGCTAAGGTGAATGGATCACTTGAACCCAGGAGTTTGAGGTTGCAGTGAGCTATGATGGCACCACTGTACTCCAGCCTGGGCCACAAAGTGAGGCTCTGTCTCAAGAATAAAAAAATTTTTTTTTTAAAAGCCCAGGCATGGGAGCTCACGCCTGTAATCCCAGCACTTTGGGAGGCTGAGGTGGGTGGATTGACTGAGATCGGAAGTTTGAGACCAGCCTGGCCAACATGGTGAAACCTCATCTCTATTAAAAATACAAAAATTAGCCAGGCATAGTGATAAGTGCCTGTAATTCCAGCTACTTGAGAGGCTGAAGCAGGAGAATCGCTTGAACCCCAGGAGGTGGAGGTTGCAGTGAGCTGAGATTACGCACTGCATTCCCGAGCAAGACCCTGTCTAAAAAAAGAAAAAAAACAGTCAGCCTGCAAAGATCTGGAAGCAGGGAGAAAATGGAGAGGGCTGGCAGAGGCAAAGGTTGTAAGATGGGATAAACTTGTATGACGCACAACAGCTGGACAGAGAGGCCAGATGGGGAGTAATAGGTGGGTGAAAGCAAGAATGGGGTAGGCAGGGCCGGATCAAGTAAGGGGGAATAATGAATGGGTTATAGGGAGGCAGGATGGAAGCCTGGAGACCAGTTAGCTGGCTGTTGCTGCAATCCAGATGAAAAATGGTGGTGGCTTGGCTAAGGGTAGGGAAGTGCGGTTTAGGAATGACAACTAGGGAGAAGAAGGAGGGGAACCAGGTTCTTGCTTAGAGGGATGGTAAGTCCAACTGTGGAGACTAACTGGCTCCAGAACTGGCTGTGTGGCATCTAGACCTCATCCACGGCAGGTCCTAGAGTTGGGCCAGTCTGTCGTGTCCCATCCAGCTGAGGGTCTTCTTTCTCCTTCTCAGGTATGGCTCCCATGGTGCATTTTACCGCTATAAGAACAGCATGGGCAAGAGCCTCCCACTCTTTTATATCTACGACTCATACCTGACGTCCCCTGAGGCCTGGGCCCACCTCCTGACACCAAATGGGCCCCACTCGATCCGCAACACACCCTATGATGGGGTCTTCATAGCACTGCTGGTGGAGGAGGGCCACACCCACGACATCCTGGCTGCCGGATTTGACGGCATGTACACCTACTTTGCCTCCAACGGTTTCTCCTTTGGTTCTTCCCATCAGAACTGGAAAGCTGTGAAGAACTTTTGTGATGCCAACAACCTCATGTTCATCCCCAGTGTGGGGCCTGGCTATATAGACACCAGCATCCGGCCCTGGAACAACCACAATACACGCAACAGGGTCAACGGCAAGTACTATGAGACCGCCCTGCAGGCGGCCCTGACAGTGAGGCCCGAGATCGTCTCCATCACCTCCTTCAATGAGTGGCACGAGGGCACCCAGATTGAGAAGGCCATTCCCAAGAAGACACCCACCCGCCTGTATTTGGACTACCTGCCTCACCAGCCCAGCCTGTACCTGGAGCTGACCCGCCGCTGGGCGGAGCACTTCATCAAAGAGAAAGAGCAGTGGCTCATGTGAGGGGCCTGTTAACAGCGGCGTGAGGTGCTGATGTCCTTGCTTTGCTGGAAGATGTCACCACGTGGGGTTCAGCTGAGGTTGTAAGCACTCGCTCGTTCCCAGGTCAGAGGTCAGCAGCTGGGTGCCTCTGGTTGGGCTGTCAGGCCTGGGCCTGGGCAGCACAGAGCCGGTTCCTCAGGCATGTGGTGCTGGAGTGCTCTGCGGTGACGAACAGCAGAGGCTGGCAGGTGACTGGACTCAGGCCAGGGCAGCTCTGCATCCTGGGAACACTTTCATGTAACCCCTTCTAGTTTGGAGCTCTGCAGTGGGTTGGTATCCTGTAGTAGCCACCCAGTCACCGCCCTTGGAAGGGTGTCAGGGTCTGGGCTCGCATGCACCCTGTTCCCTTCTGCCAGCCTGCGTCCTCTCCTCAGGACTCCTTCCCAGATCATGTCTTCTCTAAGCTAGGGAACCATATTTGAGACTTTCAAAAAAGGAACTTCTAGGTTCAAGCTCCTCCCAGTAGATTCCTGGACCCAATTATCAGGAAATCATCCTGAACACTCACAGGTTCATTTAACACTCACTCATCAAGCACCTTCCTATGTGCTAGGTGCTGGGGAAAACTTGACCAAGGAACAGTTCCTGTCCTCAAGCTTACAGGACCCAGCTGTCCTGATCTGGTGTGGCCTTGTAGCTAGTGCCTGGGCACGGTTGTTTTTCTTTTTGTAGTTTTATCTAATGCTGGGAGTTCAGTTCTTTCTCCTCTAAAAAAAATACCTCTGTGCTCCAGAGCCTACTTTTTCCCAGATGCATATTTAGCTCCAGGGAGAGGACTAAGGAACCCCCCTCCCTTTAGCTGCCTGAACTGACTGAGGCCCACTCACTAGAGCCATGTTCAGTGCTACTGTGATTTGCAGTAATTAAATATGAACTGGTATTCTCAAGTAAGCATTCCTTTTGCTCTCTTTAAGACTTCACCAATTCTGATCTTCGATTCTGTGACAAACTGACGTACAAGCTGGGCTGGCTATGGCTTTAGCACCGACGAGTAGGTTTGGTTAAGAAATTACTCAACAAGACTGGGCACAGTGGCTCATGTCTGTAATCCCAGCACTTTGGGAGGCAGAAGCGGGTGGATCACTTGAGACCAGGAGTTCAAGACCAGCCTGACCAACATGGCAAAACTTCATCTCTACTGAAAATACCAAAAAAATTAGCAGGGTATGGTGGTGCATGCCTGTAGTCCCAGCTACTCAGGAGGCTGAGGTGTGAGAATCCCTTGAACGTGAGAGGCGGAGGTTGGAATGAGCCAAAATTGTGCCACTGCACTCCAGCCTAGGTAACAGAGTGAGACTGTCTCAAAAAGAAAAGACAACCAGAATTCTGGGAACTAGGGTGCAAGAGGGAAAGGGAGGAAGGAGGAGGTGGACCCGTGGTCACCTCAAGGACAACCATCCCCCGTTAGATAACTGATACTACACCTGAAAGATGAGCAGGCCTGGCCACCTGGCTTGTGGCTTAGCTGGGAAAACCAAGGCAGGCAGGGACAGTTGAAAGGGTTGGACGTTGACCTACAGTAATTTTCAGAAGGTAGAAACAAGGCTTCATTTCACACATGCACAATTTGAAAAATACTAAACATAGCAAGGCCAGGGGCAGGGACAGCCATTCTCACACAATGCTGATGGCAATGTAACTTGACTCAGTTCTTCTGAAGGCTAATCAATACTGAAAGCCGTAATATTTCATACACTTTGACCTAATATTCCTAATACTAAGGAAATAATTCAAGAGAAAATAAACCATTTACAAATATGTTTAATAGCAGCATTTCTTTACATTTAAGAAAAACAAAGTTCAAATGCCCAACAATAATTAACATTTTTACACATATAAACAGACAAAAGGCTGCAGAGAACACTGAATTTAAATAAAGGTGCTATGGGTATAATGAACTATAACTTATTTTATGAATAAATAAGAGTTCCTGGCTGAAAAGGATAGTGGAGGTTTATTTCCCAATATTCTTCATTTTGGACCCAACCCCTGCCAATTGAGTAGACACTCCACTATTATACCAAAAAGAGTGCTCTCCCCGCCAGCAATTCCAATACACACCACCACTAGGCCCAATGGCTCAGAGGGAAGAATGGCCTGTGGCTCTTCAATCTTTATCCTAACGTGGAGCCCAACCCATGCCTTTGGTCACCTGAGACTTTTTACTTATTAATTTTTATAAGACAGGGTGTTGCTATGTTGCCCAGGCTGATTTTGAACTCCTGGGCTAAATTAGTTCTCCCGCCTGGGCATCCCAGAATGTTGGGATCACAGGCATGAGCCACCACACCCAGCCACCTGAGACTTTTTTAAACAGCACCAGCACTTCTAGCTGGTTAGAAGCTTAAATGCCACCACCTACCAGAAAAAGAGGCTCTCACTAGATTCTAAATCTGTTAAATTACTTTTCAATTAAAAAGCAAAACAGAGAGAAGAAACTTACTAGAATAAGGTCACTTAGGAATGTTAACTTTTCCATTCAGCTTTTGGCTGATATATGAAATTATGAATAATAAATAGTCTTTCCCCAGGTGCAAGGCTAAACCAGCAGCTTCCAAGGCTTGGTCTACAGTGCTCAGAAAGACACGCCACCTAAAAAGTCAGGCGAGTGCCCTAGCTCCAGTGGCCTCTGCAGATGAGGCCTTGCCAGTCATCACGGACACATACATAGCATCCAGCACCACTCGTTGGGCCTTCCTGCTTCCCAGAGTTTCACAGGTAGGATGCATGTGAGGGGAGCAGCCCATACTTCTGTTGGAGGATGGCAGTAGTATTTTCCAGGGCACTGAGGAGGAAACAGGACAGTTACCAGTCTGAACCAGTCTGACTTCTCTAAGTCCTGAGCCCAGCAGAGGCTGGTGAGCAGGTACATCTAAACTTGCTGGCCCTGTTATGCCCTGTTCATCAAACCCTTGGTGAATCCTTTTGAATCTTAATAAAGCCAGCAAACTTAGACCCACTGCAACTACCACTGCTCCAAACCCTGCCTGTGTCCCTCACGGCAAGATAGGAGGCACCATCTTTATCTTGCCAAAGCTTTTTTGCATCTCTCCAACCTCTCTCAAATTATTTCCCCACACCACAGGAAAGGTACTTACCAGCCTGGACGAATAATGCCAAACTTTCCAGGCACAGACAAATCAACCACAGTTGAGCCGAGGCGACACTCAGGGCTCTGGCCATCCCCAATTTGTCCCCCATCAATGACCAAGGATAACTGAGGCCAGAGATCCTGGAACTCCTGAAAAGAGGAAGAAGGAAGAGCATGGATGTTATCCCTGGCACATGCAATAATGTCATACTGCACACAGGGTTATCAAAGGCCTTACAGTCTTAAAACAGGAGGCACCAGGCTGGGCGCGGTGGCTCACGCCTCTAACCCCAGCACTTTGGGAGGCCGAGGTGGGTGGATCACTTGAGGTTGGGAGTTCAAGACCAGCCTAATCAACATGGAGAAATCCCATGTTTACTAAAAATACAAAAAAATTAGCCAGGCATGGTGGCACATGCCTATAATCCCAGCTACCTAGGAGGCTGAGGAAGGAGAATCACTTGAACCCAGGAGGCAGAGGTTTCAGTGAGCCAAGATCACGTCATTGCGCTCCAGCCTGGGCAACAAGAGCGAAACTCTGTCTCAAAAAAAAACAACAAAACAAAACACAGGAGGGACCTTCCTCTAAGCAGAGAAAGGAACTTCATTTAGTTAAGGTCAGCTGTGCCATGGGTACTGCATCCTATGAGGTTTGGAGCGCTCCTGGGTTAGCATCGCAAATAACACCTATTGGGACTTAAAGAAAATCTTGCTGTGTCAAAAGGAAATTTCACACATTGCTTCAGTAAGGGAAATATAAGTACAACGATTAGAGTTCTGGGCAGAGATATGGGCTCTAACTCTGGACTTTCCTTCATATCTCTGTGTGACTGCACACACGTTACTCTATCCAGGCGTAGAAGACAAGTGAGCTGGACTAGATGATCCTATGTGTCCTCATTTGTTCTAATCTATGTAGCCAAGACAGGACTAGGATGATCCTTTCTTTGACCTGGCTTGTGGCAGAGGTAAAAGAACAGGGTCATAAGTCAAAAACTAGGTAAAAAGGCTGGGCCTGGTGGCTCATGTTTGTAATCCCAGCACTTTGGGAGGCTGGGGCAGGCGGCTCTCTTGAGGCCAGGAGTTCGAGACAAGCCTGGCCAACACGGTGAAATGCCACCTCTACTAAAAATACAAACATTAGCAGCACTGTAATCCCAGTTACTTAGGACGCTGAGGCAGGAGAAACGCTTTAACCCAGGAGGTGGAGTTGCAATGAGCCGAGACTGTGCCACTGCACTCCAGCCTGGACAAGAATGAGACTCCATCTCAAAAAAAAAAAAAAAAAAACTAGGTAAAAATCTGGTCACTTAAAGGCTGTGTGAGCCGGAACAAGTGATTCCACCTCCTTCCAGCTCTAGAACTATGCTCCTGGATCTCACTGCAACTCTGATCAGGGTGGGAAGAATAGAACAGATTAGACTGCCTGCCACCAGCACTCAGGCTTTGGGCTATGAGGATACTCCCCCTAGAAGCATGCACTGAATTGTTAACTAAGTTAGAGCTTCCTCAACCCCCTGTGAAGACACTGCAGTCGCAGTTAGGCCTGGGAATTTGGGATAGGGGATCATAAAAACCAGTTACTGTGTTGGACAGGTCAAATGATTGCTGACAAGGTAAAAACCTCCCCTCCCCATGCCACATCCCCATTCCTGCTCCTGGGGTACAGCCACCAGAACCAAGTCAAACCTGCACTCTGAGAATGAGAAAGGATGCTGAACTCTCACTTTCCAAGAACCCTGAGCCCTGCTCTAGGTCTGGGCATGGAAAACCCCATCAGCTTATTTTACATCTTAATAAGAAAAAGAAGTGAAAGTTCTGTGTTCTCATTTGTTCCAATCTATGTAGCCAAAAAAGGATTAGGATTGTCCTATCTTTTTTTTTTTTTTTTTGAGACGGAGTTTCACTCTTGTTACCCAGGCTGGAGTGCAATGGCACGATCTCGGCTCACCACAACCTCCACCTCCTGGGTTCAGAAAATTCTCCTGCCTCAGCCTCCTGAGTAGCTGGGATTACAGGAACGCACCACCATGCCCAGCTAATTTTTTGTATTTTTAGTAGAGACGGGGTTTTATCATGTTGACCAGGATGGTCTCGATCTCTTGACCTTGTGACCCACCCACCTCGGCTTCCCAAAGTGCTGGGATTATAGCCACCGCCCAGCCCAGGATTGTCCTTTCTTTGATCTGGCTTGTGGCCGAGATAAGAGAACAGGGTCAAGAGTCAAAAATTGGGTAAAAATCTGGGTCACTTAATGGCTGTGTGACCTAGAACAAGTGATTCAACTTTTTGGAAGCTAAATTTTTTTTTTTAGGAGACACAATCTCACTCTAGCCCTGGCTGGAGTACAGTGAAGCGATCTTGGCTCACTGTAACCTCCACTTTCCAGGTTCAAGTGATTCTCCTGCTTCAAATTCTCCTGAGTAGCTGGGATTACAGACATAAGCCACCATGTCTGGCTAATTTTTATATTTTTTATTAAAGATGGGGTTTTGCCATGTTGGCCATGCTGGTCTTAAACTCCTGACCTCAGGTGATCCACCTGCCTGGGCTTCCCAAAGTGCTGGGATTACAGGCATGAAGCACTGTGCTTGGCCTTCTTCATTTTTCTTCAGAGCACTGTCATGAAGATTTATAGCCTAACTCTGTATTCTCCAAAAACTGCTATCTCCAGAAAAACAGAAAGACATTTTTCTTATCATAAGCTTTCCTATTATTATAAAAGATAGTAAGAAGAAACTACGATTCTCCCCCTGGCTTTTCAGACTTTGATAAAACCTTTCAAATTTCTTGAATTTATATTCCCACCCCAGCCCCACCCCTACCTCCCTGCCAGCTGGGCAACCTTCCCACTGTTGGCCCAAGAACTCTCACGCCCAGAATCCCAGTACACTATCAATGCCACTGATTCATACAAAACAGTGTTTGGGCTGGTTACATTTCCAGGGGAAGGATTGGGTAAACTCACCTCGACATTCAGAGAACTGGCCTGGGAGCTGAGGTTGGCGCTAGTGAGAGCAAGAGGACCCTCAAACATCTGAGCCAAGTCTTGCATAAAGGCGTGATCAGGAATCCGGATTCCTACAAGCTATGAGGCAAGGGGAAGGGGATCATGAGAAAGGCTGGAAGACGTAGAGAGTATGTCTGACCTGGATCCTAGTGAAAGCCAAGTGGCCCAGAGTCTGGGGACACAAGAGAATACTTGACTCACAGGCGTAAAAGGATTCAGGTCCTTGTTGAGCTCCTCCGAGCGTTCCATCACCAGGGTCACTGGTCCTGGCAGCAGGTCTTTCAGGAGTCCCTCGGGTACTCTCACACGGCAGTATCTAAGAAACACAGGAGCATAAATCCATTCAAAATGACTGGTGGTCCTTTCCCAGACTCTAGGCAAATGCAGGAAAGGAATCTTTCGAGTTTACAATGGAAGCCGCCTCTCTCCCTGCTTCACCTCCCTAAGAGCTTGAGCAGAAAGCAGGGCCCCAGAGGCGCACCGCTGGCTTGGCGTCCACGTGCCTCTGGTCTCAGAGACTAAAACAGCTGCACCGCTGTGATATCGGTGACAGTGGGTTCAAGCTCCACGTTTTATTTTCTTCAAGACATTCGCTATTAAATTAAGCTACTGTGTTTGTGTTTCCTTCTTCCTGACAGCCTACCCAACTAGCACAAAAGCGCCCAGGGAACACGACCCCTGGCTTTCTCGTGTGTCGCTGCCTCCCAGCAGCCATGTAGTTCAGGGCCTGGGGCACGTTAAGTCCTCGGTACACATTCCCAGTTCCGGATTCTTTGGTGAGCCTGGACAAGCCCCTCCCGCTCTCTGCGCCTCAGTCTCCCAAGCCTGTCACCGGAAACCCCTCCCGCGGTGCCGCCCCCAGTGGGGCCGGGTCGGGGCGGCCTCACCTGTAGACGTCGGCCACGCGGCCCAGGCACACGGCCAGAGGCTTGGCCTCGCTGCGGCCTTTGAGGCGGTACACAGCGTGCAGGGCCGCTGAGCAGCTCGCTGCGCAGGCCAGGCCGTACAGCGTATCGGTGGGGACGGCCACCACGGCGCCAGCGCGCAGCTCTGCCACGGCGGCCCGCAGCGCCTCGGTCCAGCCGGCGCGCTCCGGGCTTGCAGCCTGCACGGCCCCGCTCCCCGGGAGCCGCAATAGCCGGGCCCCGGGAGCCGCCGGAACGGGGCTCGGCGGGCGGAGAAGACGGCCGCTACGGGAGCCAGCAGGCCCCTCGCTCAACCCCACGCTGGCAGCCACCGCGGCCCTCATACCGGTGCACCGACGTGCCGGAGACATCCGCCCAGGCCCGCTTCCGGGAGGAAGTGACGCTCCTAGCCAGCTTCCGGCCCGGGAGACTCGGCCCCACCTCTGCGCCGGGCAGCTTAAAGGGACCACGACCCCCAGGAGGATTGAAGGAGACCGGTGGGGACAGGGCGGGGCGCAGCCTTGCGGAGTCCTAACGCAGCGCTGGGGAGGGGGGCGGCCGAAAGGGGGGAGGTGGTCGGGCCGCGCAGGTGGAGATGGAATGGGGCCCGGGCTCAGACTGGTCACGGGGGTGAGAGGGGGCCCTTCGGGAAGCGGGGATGGGGCTCGGACCCCACGCAAGCGCCGGCCCTGACTGTCTCTCGCTCTCTCCCGGGCAGGGAGGCTGCCGGCGTGGACCGCGGGAAGGCGGGGCTGGGGCTCGGCGGGAGGCCACCCCCGCAGCCGCCCCGGGAGGAGCGCGCCCAGCAGCTGCTGGACGCGGTGGAGCAGCGGCAGCGGCAGCTCCTGGACACCATCGCCGCCTGCGAGGAGATGCTACGGCAGCTGGGTCGCCGGCGCCCGGAGCCGGCTGGTGGCGGGGTTAGTGCCCACCCCGGGCTGGGCCTGGGGGGTGGGGTCTGCCCGCTGGGTAGGCTAGCCAAGCTCTAGCTTCCCCTGAAGGGGGGAACTGTCTCCCCACCGCCTTATCCTTAACCTCTGATATGGTGAGAGGTTTCGAAAAAGTTAATAGTATCCAAATGCCAAATGGCCATATCCTTCTGGGGCCTAATCCAAGGCCTTGCCTCCCAGCCTCACTTTTTTCCTTTCTGTTCCGACTAGAACGTCTCAGCCAAACCCGGAGCGCCCCCACAACCGGCTGTCTCAGCCAGAGGCGGCTTTCCAAAGGATGCTGGCGATGGAGCTGCGGAGCCCTGACCATCCCCGAGCCAGATGCCCTGACTTCTCTCCCTCCCCAGGGCCAGTGGCTGGACTCTGAACTCCTTCAATAAAGGGGCCAGTCTTCACTGGCAGTGGCTGGTACTTGGCTCTCAGCCTGGAGTGGCAGCTCTGCTAGCAGCTGGGTTCACTCCCACTTCATCCTGGCTGAAAGCAGTGCTGTGCTTTGAAATGTAGCCAATGAATACCCAGTCTATTACCCAGATTTGGGCAGACCGGCAGTGCTCGCCAAAGTGGTCTGGCCTGCTATGGGGGATCCAGGTGGTGGTACATGTCTATTTCATACTTTAGGGGCTCTTAACCCCACAAAACAACTTCAGCAGAGCCTTGATTAAAAGGAAACCTGCAGACTCTCCTGGTGACCGACGTTTCCTTTCTGTCCCCTCTCCAAAAATGATGGCTGGGCAGGGGGGAGTAATGGAAAAATGTCAACTCTGGGCAGGGTTGGGAAGAAATGCCACAGATACTACCAGATTTAAATAAGCATTTAATTAGGATTTCATTAGTATTTAATATTGCTTTTTCAATTCCAAAAAGTTAAATTTTCACTTCTTAGCAGATATTTTAAAGTACAATATTAAGTTTATACAAAATGAGCAATTAAGCAAACACCATTATTTCACATTCTTCAAAAATACAAATTCGTATTTATTCTTTTTTGGGTTTGGAGGTTTCTTCCTTTGGAAGTACTGAACCTGTAACGTTTTCATGTCGCTCAGTGGAAGTCCGTTGTTCCCATGTTTCATTCACACTTAAATAAATTTGATAGACTTTTACATAATCCAAATAAAACTATTTGGGATTTTAAAAACTGTCACCAAGACCCCGGCCAATGATTAGTGTATATCAGAAAAAGAGGGCTCTTGGGGGCTCTTGCCTTTCCTGGCTAGAAGATCTGAGCCAGATATTCAACAAAAATCTGTTTCCAGCCACCTTCCCCAAACAGGGACTAGGAAGAGTTCTATGGAAAAAAGAACAGACACCTTGAACTCTGACCACCATCTCCACATTCTCCAAAATACAATGAAGGATGTAGACTGTTGAGTCAAACAGCCCTTGGGAGGCCTGAGAACACAGCAGGAAAAGGGCAAGAGAAGCCTCTGAGTTGGCACACTATGAGGATAACAAGGATATTGCAAAAAACACCCCTGGGTTTTGGTGCAAAAAGGTTTTATGAAAAATTTTCCCATAAGAAAAAGTAGAAACTGCATTGAGCTGAGAAAGTGACACTACATTATCACCTGATTTTTGGCCCAACAGGCACACCACCAAAAGGGCAGTGTGTGGTTTTAAACCTCACTTCCAGTAAAAAAGCTTGTTCTGTGTACATTGACATAAAGATCCAGTTTAATCTGCATTTTTTCAGTGCAGACTGAGAAGCCCTCTCTCGAACAGGAGTAACAGTGAGAAACGCCCAGACAGTGCTCATCGGCTTCCCCGAAGGGTATCAGAAGAAATACAGGACCCTTTCCCTCTCTCCCTAAAAAATATGCAAGAGGAAACAGGCTAAGATGGCTAACCAATCAGAAGTATGCTTCAGTTTTGTTGCCTCCATCCCCAAATATGAAGGAACACACAATTTCTGATCTATGTCACAGCAGAACCATTTGCATAGCGGATCTATGAAAATCTTTCTGCTTTGGCTGAAGTACATTTTAAAACTTGTCTATTCTATAGCCTGAGAATTGAAGACAAAATGGGGCAGGTGGAGAAAAGGAAGAAAGTTGACTCACGGGATTTAATGTTTGTTTATGGGATTTAATGAAGGTTGGAGGCCTTTTTGCTTAAGGAACCAACACAGGTAGTATGGGGAGCAGTGTGGAAATGGCTCTTGTTGCCCCCAACACCCATGCATCCCCAAACATATTTCTGATTGGTGGTGTAAGACAATTGTAAACTCTTGAGAAATACTGTTGCAGTTGCACAAATCAATGGTTTCAGTGACTCTGGAGAAGTGTTTAAGGACAATGGATGTGATCACAAACATAAAAGTCTAGAAGGTGCCAGGTTTCTACATAGGAACAACCTGTTCCTTCCTTTCAGGCTTCATTTCATAATGGTGAAGAGGGAAAAGAGGGCAAGAGACCAAGAAGTGATGAAAAAGGGCCTCAACAGTCGGCAGAAAACAGGACCCACAGCAGTTCTTCAGAGAGCCTGAGGGGGCACCCTGGGGCACACAGGGAAGGCTTGCATAGATTGAGCGGTTGCTGAGAATGCATAATAGTGTCTCCCTATGGACAGCCTCATAGCTCAGGGCTGACTGAGCGGAAAAATACGGCCAGGCCAGGGCCACATGGGACAACGACCATCAGGCTACACATATTGCACCAAGGTAAGTGCTTTTCTTTTCACACCTCAATTTAACTTTTTATTCTGAGCAAAAAAATAAAACTTTGTGGAAAGAGTGTGTGTGTGTATATATATATATATATATATATACACACACGCACACACACAAAAGAAATTGCAGCAATCGGGTTAAAGATAAAATAACCTAAAGTGCTTTTTTATTTTATTATTTCTTTAATATACCAATATGAGGTTCTGCAAACTTGTCCCTCTGGACACATTCAGCATTATACAAAGTCTCTCAGGAAAACCCACCCACCCTCCAATATCCCCATCAGTCCACAGCCTTGACCCTGAAAATAAAACTCTCCAATCTAACAACTATCCCAGAGGTGAAGAAGAGAAGCCCCTTGCCTTTTACTCGGAGAGATCGTCACATCTTAAGGCCCCTTCTGGGCTTTGTACCATAATCTCCTTCTAAACAGAGGTGGAATTCAATAAATGATACCACTTCTGTCACCAAACTAGTGGTACCCACATGAGATTGGCCAGACCCTGCCAGGAAAGACTGGGCCACTGTCCCTCAATGCCCAACCTCCCTGCCTGGGAAGGGCCAAGTTCACTCAGGTAGTTTGGTGGTGCCAGCCAGTTTCCTTACCACCTCCTAAATCTATGAACCCCAATCCCTGGTGCTAAGCACCTTCGAAATGGTTGTCTAATTGGAGATGCTAGTAGGAGCTGGAAGATAAATGTACAGGGTTAAAATGGTTAAGTTTACTATGGGAGTGAAAAAAGGCTTGATTTTACCCACTGGAATTCTACAAACCCTCCCATACCTCACCCAAGGTTCATTTCCCAGGTTTGGGAAACCACACTCACCATGAAGGTTCTTTCTGGCTCCAGCTTAGCTAGGGGCCCTCTCTTCTCCAAGGTCCTTGGCACTACAGACCAGGCTTAGGGAAGGGCAGGTAGGAAAAGAGAACTGGAAAAGGAGGGAAAGGAAGACTACCTACCCTGGGAAATAAACCTGATCTTCACAACCACTTACTGGCATTTTAAGCACATTCCTGATTTTTCAAAGCTGATTGGATCTGATAGTCTCTCTTGTAATCTAAAGTCACCCTCAAAAGGCAGACACTTCAGCTTCTTCAACTGGAAAAATCTGTCAGCCTAAACACTGTTTAAGATGCTGCTTTGGCTGGGCGCGGTGGTTCACGCCTGTAATCCTAGCACTTTGGGAGGCCAAGGTGGGTGGATCACCTGAGGTCAGGAGTTCAAGACCAGCCTGGCCATCATGGTGAAACCCCATCTTAAAAAAAAAAAAAAAAAGATGCTGCTTCGTCACCCCTGATCTTTGAGAGTGAAAAGGCCACTGACGTGGGTAGGGCTGCAATATGAGCACATTCCCGGCTAATCAGGAAGTCGATAATTAAACCACGGGTGCTTCAAATGGCATTCCCTGGGCTCCTATTTCCCACCTCCGCTCCCAGGGAACCCAAATCCCAGGTGACCATAGGATGGGCATATGGGAGGGTCATTACTGCCCTCTAATACAAGCTTAGTTTGGGGTCCCATCACTCCTCTCTCAGAAGTTGTAAACAGCAAGGGCCGTATCTCAAAGCTTCCTATGGATGCGAGGCTGAGACAGCCAAGGACATCTCACACTAAGCAGGTGGTTTTCCAGGAGGACTAACCCACTGTGTAAACAGGAGATTCCTCCTGCCTTACCAACTTCTGCTGAAGTCAATGGTCACCAGAAGCCACAAGCCTTTTGGGGAGGGGAGTGCAGAAGGTCAAAAAGAAGTCAATTCCCTAGGCTGGGCAGTTGGCTCACACCTGTAATCCCAGCACTTTGGGAGGCCAAGGTGGGCGGATCACCTGAGGTTGGGAGTTCAAGACCAGCCTGACCAACACGGAGAAACCCCATTTCTACTAAAAATACAAAATTAGCCAGGTGTGGTGGTGCATGCCTGTAGCCCCAGCTATTTGGGAGGCTGAGGCAGGAGAATCTCTTGAACCTGGGAGGCGGAGGTTGCAGTGAGCTGAGATCTCGGCACTACATTCCAGACTGGGCAACAAGAGTGAAACTCCAGCTAAAAAAAAAAAATCAATTCCCCTGGCTAGGGTCCTGGAATGAGAAATTGACTTCTTATAGTTAAGACCATTTTTCCTCATGGCAGTAACTACATTCACCACCACTGCCCTCTTTGTCTGTCCCTGAACATCCTGGCTAAAGGCAAGGGAGGGCCTCTGGCTCCAAGGTCAATCATCTGCTCTCAATCATATCTCGGCTGGCCCTGAGCAATGGCTCAGAGAATAGGAGAGTGACCAATGCAGATCCCTTTACATTAGGGAATGAAAATGCAAGGCAAAATTATGGCTGCTTCCTGCCTGACACTGTTGGCTTGGAAGAGCAGCCTTGTTTGTGGAACACTGCTCCTTGCTTAGGGCAGGGAAAAGGCTCTTGGGAGGCAGAGGCCTATTCTGCACCTCAGGTCATGCCTGGCTTCTGAGCTTGGTGAGTTTGGTGAGCACTCATGACTATGTTAATATAGCCTGTTGAGAAAAACTTTTCATGCTAGTGTGGATTGTATCTTATCTTTTATTTTACGAGGCAATGACTTGGAGCCAAAGGCAGACAGATGGATATAATTCTATACACACACACACACACACACACACACACACAATTTTTTCCTATATCACAACTTAATGAAACATTCCAAATGAGATAACTTATTGCAACATTTCAGGCTTTTTGGTGGAAAGGGAATTGTTTTGTTTTGTTATACCCTGAGTAGAAGATCATCGTTTTGTGTTTTTTCTTTTTTTTTTTTTCTTTTTTTAATAAATCACATGATTAAGCTGAGCAAGTCACATCTTTGTTTGCACTGTATGAGGCTGTATGCAAAATCCAGGCGGGGAGGGGCAGAGATGGAGGGGGCAACCCAAAGCCTGGCTAGAACCTGGAAACAGGACTCCTGGCCTGCCAATTACATGCCACCTCATACGAATTCCCTTCAATCTGTACCTTCTCCTGATAAGCAAAATGCAGCCCTTCTGCTCTGAGGAAGAAAATACCATTAAAAAGAAGGCAGACCACCAAACAGCAACTGACCATAAACCACATGTTCACTCTAGGAAGAAACAGTGATATTCCCCAAGGAAAATTCACTGCGATCTGCAAGCCCTGGCAACCAGCTGAGAAAAAGAACCAGGAAGGCAAAGACAGCGATAATGTTGCTAGAGCCTGCTCTGCACACACGTCCTTGACAGACAGCACTCAACAAGCTGCCTAGGGCCTCTGCAGAACCAGATCAACCCCACAGCCTGCGAGCAGGGCCTGAAGCTGCCTATTTGTGCTGAAGCGGGCTGCAGAACGACCCGTGTTATCCACCCTGAGCTCCACCAACACTAAGCACAAATGACAACACCATCTCACCTGAACCCTGACCAACTCACAGCTGCCTCACTGGCCTTTGCCACTGCCCTCTCTGATGGAGCAAGGGTCTGGCCTTCCAAGCAAATGTCAGCCTCAGATTCAAAAGACACACAAGAAGGAACAACACCCAACACACTGAACTCTCCTGCCCAATCCACAAAGACCCCAGTGCAAGTGATGGGCAGCCTCAGATTGATGGAAACCACATCCTTTCATTTAGAATTTTTATGCATACGAGTAACCTTAGTTTCCAAGTTCACATGACAACAAGCAAAAGTGACATACAGTGCAGCCAAACAGTTCACTTATAACTTAGCTTTTTTTGTTATTTTTTGTTTTTTTCCAAAGATTAGTTCCTGGGATGTGAATAAAGAAAATACGTCTGAAAGGTGAGGATTTCAAACAGTAAATTTCTTCATCCTTCAAATTTCTGACCCATGATGGCAGGCATTGTACCTCATGCCTCCTGCTCACCCTCTTTTTCCTGGAGGTGAGCACACATGGCCCTTCACTTGGAGAAGCTGCTGGTGAGGCCCATCTCCTCCTCCCTCTGCAGTAGTGCTTCAAGGGGAATCAGATTGGACGGGGTGTCCATGTTCTGAAGGGATAGAAACTGTAACACATCCATGGCACTTAACGTTTCTGTCTGAGGGTCTGAAGGAGCCTCTGCTTGTCGGCTTTGCTCACAGGAGAAGGGCATGGTGGAGGATGGTGACCGGGGAACAGGGGCTGAAGAGAAAGTCTGCACTGGGAGCTGCAAGCTGGGCCCATCAGGAGCCTGGGGGCTTGGCTGTGGAGGGGGTGGTGGGGAGGAGTAGCCCTTCCTCCTGCTGGACGCCCGCTCCTTTGCAGAGTCCCGGCACGCACACTGACACTGACATGCCTCTTCTTGTTTGATGATGATCACAGGAACACTGAGGCCAATCTGCTGGACAGAGCTCCCTGTGAGAGAGGCAAGAGAGACTGCTCTTCAAGTAGCTGTAGGGGCAGGAGCACGAGGGAAAGGGATACATGGACTAGGTGAGAGCGAAGTGCCAGAGGAACCATGGGAAGGACAGTCGCCACGCTTTGGGCTTTGTTCTGCTTTAAATTGGACCACATGTCCTCTCAGGTAAAAGAGGGACACTCCCCAGCCCAAGTCAAAGTCTCCTTTCCTTAGAAAGGAGATGCACATGCAATCTAGATGCACCCTGTATTTCCAGCTTCATTTCCAGTCATTCTCCACTGCATCCTCCGTGCAGACACCTACCTTTTCCTGACATGTTCTTTATACTCCTGGGTGTGTGGGCTCTTCCTTATGCTTAAAATCCCTGGACACCACTCTTCTGGAGAACTGACACTCATCTTTCAGGACCTAGCTCACTCCCCCACTCTCTGTAGGCCTATGCAGAGGACTAGCTTGGGTGAAGCCCATACCGAGCTTCCCAGCACACATGTGCAGTGCTGCTGTCTTCCTTCCATGCCTCTCTCCATACAGTACAGGACCTACTTGGTTCTGCCTGCCCAGGAGACTCTGAGCTCTTTTAGGACACCTTACTCATCTCTCTTTCTCTCATGTGTTGTGCTCCCTATTCAGCCAGGCTTTGTGTCTTGACAGAGCTAAAGATCAGCGGGTAGGGCTGGGTACAGTGGCTCATGCCTGTATGTAATCCCAGTATTCTGGGAGTCTGAGAAGTCAGGATCTCTTGAGCCCAGGTGTTTGAGACCAGCCTGGACAATACAGTGAGACTCTGTTTCTACAAATAATAAAGAAAAATTCGGCCAGGTGTGGTGACTCACGCCTGTAATCCCAGCACTTTGGGAGGCCAAGGTGGTCGAATCACTTGAGGTCAGGAGTTTGAGACCAGTCTGGCCAACATGGTGAAACCTCATCTCTACTAAAAATACAAAAATTAGCTGGGCATGGTGGTGGGCACCTGTAATCCCAGCTACTTGGGAGGTTGAGGCATGAGAATCACTTGAGCCTGGGAGGCAGAGGTTGCAGTGAGCCAGGATTTGTGCCACTGCACTCCAGCCTGGGCAACAGAACAAGATTCCATCTCAAAAAAAAAAAAAAAGAGAAGAAAAATTAGCCAGGCATGATGGTATGTACGAATGGTCCCAGCTACTGGAGAAGCCAGAGCAGGAGGAGTGCCTGAGCCCAGGAGGTCCAGGCTGCAGTGAGCTGTGATCACTATACCGCAGCCTGGGTGACAGTGAGACCTCATCTCAAAAATAAAACAAAACAAAAGCCAATGGGCAGAAGAACAGGGTGGGAACTGAGAGGCGTGAGAACTAGTGCTTTGTTTGGTTCTATCACAAATTCACTTATGACCTTGGGGGCGTCATTTAATTTTTCTGGGTCCCAGTTTCTTAATCTATAAAAGAAAGAATTTGAATAAAAGGAACTTTCAGCTCTATATGTGTCTCTGACCCAGATGCTATTTCTTCATTACTGTAATTAGAAAAGAGTCCAGTGAATTAACAACTGCCCTCTTTAGCATTAACTGTGATTCAACTTTTTTTTCTGGCTACATTTAAAAGCTGTATCTGAAAGAGAAAGAACCGCTACTCATTAAAGTTTAACATGGTATCTTGGCCAGAAGTAAACTAACTTCTAATAGTTGTGAGAATATGAAATACTCTAACGAACAATAATATGTGAAGAATTTAACTTAGGCTGTTTAAAGATTTATAAAGTTTTAGAAACTGGGACAAAGCAATAATTAGCTGTGCCTCAAGGGGCTCAGAGTTGCCTTCTCTTAAGACTAACATGGAATTACTTACCTGGTCTACTGGCTACTGGTACTGCAGTGGTATAAAACACCTTCTCAACTTTAGATGCTTGCTGCTGAAAAAAGAAAAAGAAATCCCATTTATAGCCACTGTAATAAGGCAGATTCCCCAGGGATCTGAAGCCTCCCAATTGTAATAGTCATCCAAGACAATAGAAAACCCTCAGTGTTCGGGGATTTTTGTACTGAGTGATGTTCTGTTTGTGTTCTGATATGAGGTCACTGCACTGTGCTGACAATGTAGCAAGCTTTGTACCCTACTAGTTGGCTGGCTCCCGGCTGCCTAATCCAGTGGGTTCTGTATCCAAAGGCTCCTCCTCCTCCAAGGTTGCTTTTCTCAAGCAGTTTGTCTTCTTAGAGGGAACCAAGAGCTAGCTTTCCTTCAGGCTCTCCACCTTCCCTGGTGCCCCCTCCAATACTTCTAAGAAAGCTGGAAAGTTCTTTTTCTCCCCCAGGGATTAAGCTGCATGCCAATGACAGGCTAAGGCTTCCTCTCACAGGCAGACAGCCCTGTAAAGATCTTGTGCTATAAGGTCCACAGCATAGGCCGGGCGCGGTGGCTCAAGCCTGTAATCCCAGCACTTTGGGAGGCCAAGGAGGGTGGATCACGAGGTCAAGAGATCGAGACCATCCTGGTCAGCATGGTGAAACCTCGTCTCTACTAAAAATACAAAAAATTAGCTGGGCATGGTGGCGCGTGCCTGTAATCCCAGCTACTCAGGAGGCTGAGGCAGGAGAATTGCCTGAACCCAGGAGGCGGAGGTTGCGGTGAGCCGAGATCATGCCATTGCACTCCAGCCTGGGTAACAAGAGCGAAACTCCGTCTCAAAAAAAAAAAAAAAAAAGGTCCACAGCATAGTTCAAGGGTGGGCCCTGGATTCAGCCACACTTGGATTCAAGTCCAAGTTCTGCCGCTTACTACCTGATTATGTCAGGCATGTGATTTAACTTCCTAGAGTCTGGTTTCCCCACCTATAAAAACAGGGATAACTGATATGGATGGAGTATCTGTTCCCTCCAAAACTCATGTTGAAAGTTAATGCCCAGTGTGGCAGTATTGAGAGGCTGGGTGTTGTAAGAGGTGACTGGGTCATGAATGAATTAATTAATTCATGGATTAATGGGATATCATGGGAGTGGGAGTGGTGGCTTTATAAGAAGAGTAAGAGAAGCAGGCTGTGATGGTATATGCCTATCGTCCAGCTATTTGGAAGACTGAGGGAGGATCACTTGAGCTCAGGAGTTTCAAGGGCAGCCCAGCCTCGGCAACATAGTGAGACTCTTTCTCTTAAAAATAAAAATAAAAAATAAGGCTGGGTACTGTAGCTCATGCCTTTAATATCAGTACTTTGGGAGGCAGAGGTGGGCGGATCATAAGGCCAGGAGATCAAAACCATCCTGGTCAACATGGTGACACCCCGTATCTACTAAAAATACAAAAACTAGCCAGGTAAGGTGGCATGCACCTGTAGTTCCAGCTACTCGGGAGGCTGAGACAGAAGAATCACTCAAATCTGGGAGACGGAGGTTGCAGTGAGCTGAGACTGTGCCACTGCACTCCAGCCTGGGTGACAGAGCGAGATTCCATCTCAAAAAAATAAAAAGAGAGGCCTGAGCTAGGATGTTCAACCCCTCGCCATGTGATGTCCTGTGCTACCTCAAGACTCTGCAGAGGGTCCACAATAGCAAGCCGGCCCTCCAGATGTGGTCCCTTAACTTTGGACTTCTCAGACTCCATAACTATAATAAATGTCTTTTCTTTATAAATTACCCAGTTTGGGGTATTCTGTTATAAACAGAAAATGGACCAAGACAATAACCAAAAACCTTTTCAAAGGCCCCTGTAAGGATGAAATGAGATGACGCCCATAGGACACTTGGCACATGGTGAACATTCAGTAAACATTCATTATGTATATCATTACTAAGTAGGACTATAAACCCATGCCCAGAAAATCACTCTAGTATACTTCCTATTACATTGGCCAAAAGGTTTCTACTTTTTTGAAGTCTTAATCTTGAGACAGTCTTTTATCTCTTTAAAAAGGAAATTAAAAAGTGCCTCTAAGATGAGTCTGGGAGCAAAGTGAAAGCTTCTGGCTAAGTTATAGCAAATGACACTATGAAATAATAATGGAGGCTGGGTGTGGTGGCTCACGCCTTTAATTCCAGCACTTTGGGAGCCAAGAATTGGGGCAGATCACCTGAGGTGAGGAGTTCGAGACTGGCCTAGAAAACATGGTGAAACCCCATCTTTACTAAAAATACAAAAATTAGCCAGGCGAGGTGGCACATGCCTGAAGTCCCAGCTACTCAGGAGGCTGAGGGAGGAGAACAGCTTGAACCCAGAAGGTGGAGGTTGCAGTGAGCTGAGATCACACTACTGTACTCCAGCCGGGGCAAGACAGCGAGACTCTGACTTAAAAAAAAAAAAAAAAGGAAAAGTGAGACCCATATTTAAATACTTGAAAAGAAGAGGTATGACTTGTTTCATTCACCACCCCGGGACAGGGCCAGAGAAAACAATAAAAATCGCATGGAGGCAGGCTGGGTCCCAATACTGGAAAGCCCTTTCCAATGACTCCAGCGATCTAGAAATGGAAATAGGCTCTCTCTAGAGGGGGTTGGCACCCTAGTTCTGGAATCTGAGTGTTCTCCCTATTGAGCTCGAAATCACCTTTCCAGTTTGTCTGATAATAGCATATATCCACCTCTAGATTCTCCAACCTAGTACACACTTTTCTCTATCTAATTCCTACCCATATCTCAAGGTTCACCTGACCTGTATGGCCACCCAACAATCATTAGTGTCTAAACCCCTCAGTGGAGTGGCCAAGAGCCACCAAATCTGAGATCAATCTGCTTATGCTTCAAGCCCAGCTTTGCCACTTGTGAGCTGTGTGAACTCCAGCCAGTCACTTAACCTCTCTGGACCTCTGCTCTCCATTGGGAAAATTAGACCTAACTCCTAGGATTGTTGTAATATGTTAAAATGTGCTTTGTGTGACATATAGAGCTGCAGCTATACAGCGATAGCAGAAACATCAGTGGTTGCTAGGGGAAGAGGTAGAAGGGATGAATAAGTGAAACACAAGGAATTTTTAGGGAAGTAAAACTCTTCTGGATATTGTATGGTAGATACATGACATTATGCATTTGTCAAAGCCAGTAGAACTGTACAGCACAAAGAATGGACCCTAATGTAAACTATGGACTTTAGATAATAATAAAGTATCAATACTGGTTTATCAGTTGTAACCAATGTACCACATTGTTACAAGATGTTAGTAATGGGGGAAAAAAATAAGATGATAGAAAAAACAATAATAATAGGGGAGGGCTGGGCATGGTGGCTCACGCCTATAGTTCCAGTACTTTGGGAGACTGAGGCAGGCAGATTGCTTGTGTCCAGGAGTTCAAGACCACCATGGACAACATGGTGAAACCGCGCCTCTACAAAAGGTACAAAAAATTAGCCAGGCATTGTGGTGAGTGCCTATAGTCCCAGTTAGGAGGCTGAGGTGGGAGGATGGCTTAAGCTCAAGAGGCAGAGGTTGTAGTGAGCTGAGATCGCACCACTACACTCCAGCCTGGGTGACAGAGCCCGATTCTGCCTCAAAATATATATAATAATAATAGGGGAAACTGGGGATGGGGAAAGGGTTTATGGGTACTCTCTGTACTATCTGTTTAACAAAATCCCCTAAAAAAGTAAACTAAAAATAATGTACATACATAATAACTGACACATTGTAGATCCTCAATTTTTAAAAAATATGTAGCACAGTAAGTCCTTATGCATAGTAAGGACTCAATAAATAACAGCTGTTGATGTGTTTAAAATTACCGTTATTAGTATTTGGTACTTTGCCTACTGGTAATGTTAACTTTCTTTTTGGCATTTTTAGCCCCTTTAACTAGAATGTATACAGTTTTATAAAAAAGAAATCATGTTTTTTCTCTTTTCTATATCCTCCAGATAGTCAGTGTGGTGTCTGGCAAATATTAGGCATTCTAAGTTGTGAGACTGGCCTTCCTGAGACAATTCTTCACCACGAATAATTAATTGAATGACCAAGTCATTTCCCTAGTCATCAAGACCAAGCAAGTACTTCCTTAGAAAATTATTCTATGATGGGCTGTGGGAGCACAGATTACTTCTCTGACTTGGCCACTGCTGGCCAGTGCCATCTGACTGGGTCACATCAGTACCTCACATCAGTCTGACTCTGCCTTGAAGACAACCTTTTTCTGGAATATTCTGGGGTCTCTGGAGTTTGTTGACTGCTTTTTTATACTAGATGATGTGATTCGATTGCAGTATCAGTAGGAATATTTGTTCGAGTGCCTCCTGCTAGAGAAACTTAAAGACTGTTTCTCTGGCTCCTTATTGTAGGTACTGATGACAGCATATCCTACTTTTATACCACTTGATTATGTGGAAAATGACTGAAAGAATTACATGTTTCAGGGTGGATATGATAGGAATCTTCCTTTTTGAAGTAAAAGCTTCTGAACATGTAACTTATATAAATATGCTTCACCCCACTAGGGATATTTATACATAATACTTACAATTTGTTCTTGGTTTTGTGGCGAACTGGTGGCACCATTTAATATCCACTGTAAGTTCTGTTCTCCCATGACTAGGCTGGACTGCAGGATAGCTGTGCTGGGAGTTGGGGTGATGCTTATTGTGGGATTATTAGTTAGGACAGAGTTGGCACCCAGGGGCAGAGTCTGGACCATGGCTGGCAGGGACTCAGTAGTACTTTGTGGTGGGGCTGGTGCTGCCACAGCTGATGCCACTGCTGCTGCTGATGCAGAAGCCCCAGCAACAACAGAAAGTCCTGGTACGATGGGCTGTGGTGCCTGGGGGTGCGGAAGAAACTCTTGATGATTAGCAGCAAACTGTGTGCTGTGGGGAACAGGCACTTCTGGAGGTTGTAAGAGGGCAGGGGGGTTGCCAAATGCAGCTTGCTGGGAGCCAGGTTCTAGGGAGGGAGCAGACGGAGCTGAGGCAGGTAGTAGAGGCTGGGGTGGCTCGGAGAGGCCAGGCTGCAGTACAAGTAGAAGAGATAAAGATGCTGAATTTCCTGTGGATGGCGGAACATCACTGACTGACTCTGCATCACCATTAAAACTTTCAATCAAGGAAGCTGGCAAGAAAAAGAAAAAGAAATAGAAATATATACATATATATACCCCGAGCCTTACATGAGCCACAAAAACAGTCATTATGGGCTAAACAAAAGACAGCTGAAGTTCACTGAGCCGATTCCTTCATAGTTAGCAGGCTGGCTTTCTGTCATTTTCATTTAGTGACACCTCTGGTCAAAGAATCATGTTTCAGCATCAACCTCACTTTCTTTTTTTTTTTGAGACGGAGTCTCGCTCTTGTTACCCAGGCTGGAGTGCAATGGCAAGATCTCAGCTCACCGCAACCTCCACCTCCTGGGTTCAAGCAATTCTCCTGCCTCAGCCTCCCGAGTAGCTGGGACTATAGGCGAGCACCACCATGCCCAGCTAATTTTTGTATTTTTAGTAGAGACGGGGTTTCACCTTGTTGACCAGGATGGTCTCGATCTCTTGACCTCGTGATCCACCCGCCTCAGCCTCCCAAAGTGCTGGGATTATGGGCGTGAGCCACCGCGCCCGGCCCTCTTTTTTCTATTTTTTCTTTTTTGACTTCATAGACAACCTCACTTTCTAGATGTGAAGACCTAGTATAGATCTAACCATTTAAAAAAGTGTGTTAAGGCTTTTCTGGAAAAGAGACTAGACATCCTTTTTTTGGCAGACTAGTGAATATACTTTCTGACTATTGGGAAATTTTACAGACAAAGTTTCATCAAACACAGTATGATCTATGCATCTGAAGCATGGTTCATGGGTCCTGTCCACTCATAGACAGCATATCACCTCAGAAGAAAGAATTCACAAGGCTGGGCATGGTGGCTCACACCTGTAGTCTTAGAACTATGGGAGGCCAAGGCAGGTGGATCACCTAAGCTCAGGAGATTGAGAGCAGCCTGGGCAACATGGCAAAACTCCATCTTTACCAAAAATACACACACACACACACACACACACACACACACACAAATTAACTGGGTGTGGTGGCACGTGTCTATGGTCCCGGCTACTCGGGAGGCTGAGGTAGAAGGATCACTTAAGCATGGAGGTGGAAGTTGCGAGCCGAGATCACACCACTGTACTCCCACCTGGGTGACAAAGTAAGATACTGTTTCAAAAAAAAAAAAGCAGAAGAAAGAGCTCACAGCTCCTCCCATTTTGTTTTTTACAACCAACAAAAGATTCTGGGAAAGGAGACTCTTCTTTAGGACTGAGGGAAGTAAGAGAAAAGATGGAATTAAACTGAAAGACCCAAACTTTTCTGATCCTTCATAGAAAGCTCACTCCATTTAAGCTAACTAGAATATCTCATTGTGCCTGTGACTTACTGTCAACAAGTGCTGAGATGTGAGTAGAAAGAGTGTGTGACAAACCTGTCTGTTGAGGATCTTCCTGAATTGCTGTATCATCTGAATTCTGGAACACTGATTCAAAGATGATTGCTGGTGAAATTGTGCTGAGGTCCTGGCCCTGTGTCTGATGGAGAGAGACAAAGATGTGAGATTGGCCATTCCTTTTTTTTGGAGACAGCATTTCACTCTTGTTGCCCAGGCTGGAGTACATACAATGGTGCAATCTTGGCTCACAGCATCCACCTCCCAGGTTCAAGCGAATTCTCCTGCCTCAGCCTCCTAAGTAGCTGGAATTATAGGCACCCACCACCACGCCCAGCTAATTTTTTAATTTTTTTAGTAGAGACAGGTTTTCACCGTGTTGGCCAGGCTAGTCTTAAACTCCTGACCCCGTGATCTGCCTGCCTCAGCCTCCCAAAGTGCTGGGATTACAGGCGTGAGCCACGCACCCAGCCAGATTGGCCATCTTGAGACAATTCTTCACCATGAGAGAACACATTCAAAGCAGCAGAACTAGAACGAAAATCTTTTGATATGCATCTTGTTTCTACCTTCTGCTATTTAAAATAACACATATTTCCTTAAGCCTCAGACACTGAAGATTTGGGTCCTCAAATATTTTATTTATTTATTTATTTATAGACAAAATGTCACTGTGTTGCTCAGGCTGGTCTTGAACTCCTGGGCTCAAGCAATCCACTCAATCTCAGCCTTCTAACATGTTAGGATTATAGGCATGAGCCACCATGCCCAGCCCCTCACATACTTTAAAAGAGGAATTAGTACACTGACTTGCCAGTTGACCGCCTGTTTTTGTAAATAAAGTTTTATTTGAAAACAGGCCACACATCCATTTACATATTATCTGTGCTACTTTTGCTTCAATGGCAGAGTTGACTAGTTGTGACGTGATCAACAATGCTGAAAATATTTACTGTCTGGCTCATTACCAAAAAAATGTTGCTGATTTTTTTAAGACCAAATCTTACAGTAAAAGAATGAGATTATATAATATTCATTACCCTGTAACTTCCTTTCCTCATGTAATAATAACATTGTGAATATCTTTCATAATATCTACAATATGCTAATACGTATGCATGGTAATAAATCCAACAAGCAACAATGATGAACAATACTGATAGCTTTATACTTAATAAAAGGTCAGAGGCATTCAAAACAAAAAGATAAAATGTGAGGGGGAAAGCCCAACACAATGCCCTGAGGGCCTGCCTGCCCACCAGTGCTAATTAAAATGAGCACTCTTCACTTTAGTTCAGGAAAGGCAAAACACTACAGTTCTTCTAGCCATGGTCAACCTCCAAATCCACCTCCGTCCCCACAGTCCATAGGGCAAGAGTGTAAGGGCAATTGCCTACACAGTCCAGACAAGGAACAGAAATACGTGAAGCAAGGGAGTTGGGTTGTGACATACTGGAGAGAATGCATGCCAGTCACCTACAGGGCTTCAGTCGAATGCTGCCATGGGACTATGAAGGACAGGGATTACCAGAACTCAAGTAAGTAGCAAAATTTTGATTTTCTTGTTTTTGACAGGCTTTCTTTACTATACTGCCCACACTGGAGTGCAGTGGTGTGATCATAGCTCCCTGCAGCCTCAAACTCCTGGGCTCAAGCAATCTTCTCACCTCAGCCTCCAAGTAGCTGGGATCACAGGTATGGGCCACCACATCTAGATAATATTTTAATTTTTCTGGAGAGATGGAGTCTCACTATGTTGTCCAGGCTGGTCTTAAACTCCTGGGCTCAAAGGATCCTCCCACCCCAGCTTCCCGAAGTGCTAGGATTATAGGTGTGAGCCACCCCATCAGACCCAGAAATCTTAATTTTTACATGAAATCTACCAACTTGTATATAAAAGCAAGTGCAGCTGACCCTTGAACAACATGCATTTGAAATGCACAAGTGGACACATACTTGGATTTTTTTTTCCACTTCTGCCACCCCTGAGACAGCAAGACCAACCCCTCTCTTCCTTTTCCTTGGCCTGCTCAATGTGAAGACAATGAGGATGAATACCTTTACAATGATCTACTTCCACTTAATAAATAGTAAATTTATTTTCTCTTCCTTGTGATTTTCTTAACATTTTCTTTTTTCTAGCTTACTTTAAGAATGCAATATATAATACATATATCATTCAAAATATCTGTTAATCTAAACTGTTTTATGTTATCAGTAAGGCTTCCAGTCACAGTAGGCTAAGGCTACTGCTAGCTCAGTATTGGGGAGTCGAGTGGGATTTGCTTGTGCAGGGGAGGTATGGATGCAGGGGGGGCCAGCACTCCTAGCCCATGTTGTTCAAGGGTCACATGTAATTGAAAATAATTTTAACACACCTGTATACACCAAACTAAAACCTATTTTTAGGGCACGTCTTGCCCTACTGCCAATTTACAGTTTAAGGTCATTTTGTAACAACTCTGCTTCTAGGAGGGAGAACTCAGAAGGATCACTTTGGGACTGGGCAGAAGTGTGGCAATGAGTGAGGCTGTCCACCAAACTAGAAGTGCTCAAAGATTAAACTGCTCACTGGAGCCAAAAGGGAACAATTCTTCTTCTTCTTCTTTTTTTTTTGCCTTTTTTTTGAGACAGGGTCTAACTCTGTTACCCAGGCTGGAGTACAGTGGCGCAGTTAAGTCAATGCAACCTTGAACTCCTGGGCTCAAGATTCTCCCCTCAGCCTCCCAAGTAGCTGGGACTACAGGCCCATGCCAACATGCCTGGCTGCTTTTTAAAAATTATTTTTAGTAGAGATAGGTCCTGCTATGTTGCCCAACCTGGTCTTGAACTCCTGATCTCAAGTGGTCCTCCCAAAGCACTAGGATTACAAGTATGAGCCACCACCACCAGCTGATAATTTTATGCTGAGTCTATGAGCTGAAGAAGGGGAAATTCAATTTTTTTTTTAGTTCAGCGATCCTGATTGCCAGTATGATAGAAGCTGAAGTTAGATGTGAGGCCAGAACAGTGGTTCACACCTGTAATCCCAGCACTTAGGAGGCCAAGGCGGGCAGATCACTTGAAGTCAGGAGTTCAAGATCAGCCTGGCCAACATGGTGAAACCCTGTCTCTACCCAAATACAAAAATTAGCCGAGCGTGGTGACATATGCCTGTAATCCTAGCTACTCAGAAGCCTAATGCAGGAGAATCACTTGAACCTGGGAGGCAGAGGTTGCAGCGAGCCTAGATTGTGCCACTGCACTCCAGCCTGGGGGACAGAGCGAGACTCCATCTCCAAAAAAAAAAAAAAAAAAGTAAGAAATACATTTTACACTGTATATACATATATTCTTCCAATTATATTCATATCCATATGCATAACTGAAACGAGTCTATAAAACAGACCTTATCCTTACTATGTACAATGTCCTCTGATTTTTTCTTTTTTTTTTTTTCGAGAGGGAGTCTCACTCTGTCCCCCAGGCTGGAGTGCAGTGGTGTGATCTTGGCTCAATGCAACCTCTGCTTCCTGGGTTCAAGCAATTCTCCTGCCTCAGCCTTCTGAGCAGCTGGGATTACAGGCATACGATACCATGCCTAGCTAATTTTTGTATTTTTATATTGATGGGGTTTCATCATATTGGCCAGGCTGGTATCAAACTCTTGATCTGTGATCCGCCTGCCTTGGCCTTGCAAAGTGCTGGGATTATAGGCATGAGCCACTGTACCCAGCCTTTTTTTTTTTTGAGATGGAGTCTTACTCTGTTCCCCAGGCTGGAGTGCGGTGGTGCAATCTCAGCTCACTGCAACCTCTGCCTCCCAGGTTCAAATGATTCTCCTGCCTCAGCCTTCCAAATAGCTGGGATTATAGGCGCAAGCCACCATACCCGGCTAATGTTTGTATTTTTCGTAGAGATGGGGTTTCACCATGTTGGCCAGGCTGGTCTCAAGCTCCTGACCTCATGATCTGCCTGCCTCAGCCTCCCAAAGTGCTGGGATTACAGGCATGATCCACCGTGCCCAGCTCCAGCCGATTTTTTTTTCTTTTCTATTGATGTCTTTGAAATGCTGATTATAAACCACTATTTTAAAACCCAATAAAAAGGTGCAATCCAGTTTGAAATATAGCTAACAACCACTATTGGGCATTAACGACCTCCTCTTAATTATTATTTTTGTCTGTCTGTTTATAAATCATTATAGGTAGTAACCCAATTAAAAAGGAATGAGCTATATTTATCAATGATATTAGGTTGGTACAAAAGTAATTTCGGTCTTTGCCATTACTTTCAATGGCAATTACTTTTGACCAACCTAATATCTCAATATTAGGAAGAAGAAAAGGAGGGGGCTTGTATGCTTCCAACACATATGTACAAAAATGTTCAGAGCAGCACTATTCATAATGGCTCCAAACTAGAAACTATCCAAATTTCTAACAGGAGAAAGAACAAATATTGGTATATTCATTTAGGGTATTGTGGCATATTCCCTAAGTATAATACAGTTCAACAGCAAGAATGAATGATCTATAACTATATAACAATATGGCTTAATTTCTTAAACATAATGTTATAAGATAAAAGCCAGACATAAACAAGTATATGATTCCAATCATAAAAGCAAAAACAAAGAGGAAAAACTAATCTTAATTGTTAGAGGTAAGAATAGTGGCTATCTGCTGGGAGAAATCATAGCTTTTGGGAGTATGCAGTTGTGAGGAGAGAGCTCTGGGGTGCTGAGAATGTTCTTTTGTTTGTTTTGTTTTGTTTTGAGATGGAGTTTCACTCTTGTTGCCTAGGCTGGAGAGCAATGGCACAATCTCAGCTCACTGCAACCTCTGTCTCCCAGATTCAAGTGATTCTCCTGCCTCAGCCTCCTGAGTAGCCCCCACTAACACACCTGGCTAATTTTTGTATTTTTAGTAGAGACAGGGTTTTGCCATGTCGGCCAGGCTGATCTTGAACGCCTGACCTCAGCTGTTCCACCCACCTCAGCCTCCCAAATTGCTGGGATTACAGGCGTGAGCCACCACGCCCAGCTGGGAATGTTCTTTTTGATTGGAGTGCTGGTTACCTAAGTGTAATGAATTGTGATGATTCATCAAGCTGTACATTTATAATACATGTACTTTTCTGGGTGTATATTGTACCTCAATAAAAAACTTGTCAAGATTTTTTTAAAAGGAAAATGCTGAAGCCCCTGCCAAGCTTCAGGGCAAAAACACTGGAAGCTGAGTGGGTAGGAACAACTTTCACAAGCAGAGAACACAAGAACAGGCGGAGCTTTCCAGCAAGAAGAAGAGAATACAGGTAGCTGTCTGGGACCAGGATGGATCCTGGAGCTGTACAGCCAAAAGACAGAGAGAAGGCCATTCCCTAGCACCTTCAACCCTCCTTTAACAAAAGATCTGAGCAAACCAAAGTTCTTTTGTAGGACATGCATTCACATGTGGCTGCTCAAAAACCCATAACGTCATTATCTCATATAAATTTACTATTTGATGTTAACAACTCCTGATTCTTTTGAGACAGGGTCTTGCTCTGTTGCCCAGGCTGGAATGCAGTGGTGTGATCATGGCTCACTCCAGGACTCAAGCAATCCTCTTGCCTCAGCTTCCCAAACAGCTGAGACCACAGATATGTACCACCACACCCAGCTAATATTTTATTTTTAGTAGAGATGAGGTGTCACTGTTTTGCCCAGACTGGTCTCAAACTCCTGGGCTCAAGCAATCCACCTGCCTCAGTTTCCCAAAGTGCTGGGATTACAGGCATGAGCCATTGCACATGTCCCTAATTTTTTTTTCGAGGCAAGAAAAATTAATCCTATTGCTTCAAGGAATTGTGGTCTTAGTTTGAAAGGCTAAAATCAATTTCCATATCTGAGATAAATACTGGGTACCTGGAACATAATCTGTATTTAAACCCCAAGGGATAGTGCTTCTCTCTCTTGATTATATAAAGTGTGATAGAAAGGCTTATTTATTTATTTATTTAGAGATGGAGTTTTGCTCTTGTTGCCCAGGCTGGAGTGCAATGGCATGATCTCGGCTTACCGCAAGTCCACAACCTCCGCCTCCCAGGTTCAAGCGATTCTCCTGCCGCAGCCTCCCAAGTAGCTGGGATTACAGGCATGTGCCACCACGCCTGGCTAATTTTGCATTTTTAGTAGAGAAGGGGTTTCTCCATGTTGGTCAGGCTGGTCTCAAACGCCCGACCTCAGGCAATCCACCCACCTCAGCCTCCCAGAGTGCTGGGATAACAGGCGTGAGCCACCGCGCCCAGCTGGTTTTCCTTTTTTATAAGTACTTAATGTCTCCTTACACCAGAGTATTTTCTTGGTGACCCAAGGGCTTCAGAAAGCTCCTTAGTCATATGTCATAGTCTTGGCCAGAGAAGAGACTCCTAAACTATTTAACACAGTTACATGTTAAAGGGATATTCTTCCCAGAAATCTTTAGCTGGGTACTTAGAGGGCATCTAGGCCACCCAGTGCAGAAATATTTTTTTATAACATTAGTTGTGAAATAGGAATATGTATAAAAATCATATGATGTTACCCATTTACTCTTTTTCTCTTTGTTCTTTAGATTGATTCATTTCTGTTGTTCGATCTTCAACTTAACTGACTCATTCTTCTTTCATTCCAGTCTGCTGTTAAGCCCATCCAGTCAATTATTTCAGCTATATTTTTCCATTTTAGATTTTCATTTGGGATATTTTTTACATGTTATATTCCTCTGCTGAGATTTCCTATTTGTTCGATTATTATCGGCATATTCCTTTATGTCCATAAGCATATAATAGCTCTTAAAAATCCTTGTCCCATAAAAAATAAAAATAAAAATAATCCTTGTCTGTTAATTTTAACATTAGATAGGTCATCTTGGGGTCCATCACCACAGATTACCTTTTCTCTTAAATAGGGATCATGTTTTCCTCTTTTTTCACCTGTTTACTAATTTGGGATTGCTCTGAACATTGCAAATGATATACTGTAGACACTCTGGATTCTGTTACACTTCTTGAAATAGTGTTGACTTGTTTGAATACTCCATTAACTTTGTCTCCCTTGCAGTGGATGGAGCTGTGATCTTTGTGTAGTTCTTTTTAGTATTGGCTGGGCTGTCCCAACGCATGTCCCGCACATCCATGGTTCAGGGGTCAGTCAGAGATTTGAAGAGAGTCTATACCCAGAACTTGGGGCTCCCCCTTCCTGACTCTTTCCTTTCCATGCTACCTGCCTTCATTTTCTAGGTGCTGTGACCCTGAACTCTGTCCTCTGGTTATTCAAGCCAGTAAGACTGAGTTTTTATGAGTTTGGTTGCCTCATTAGGTACCAGCTGGGGCTTGCCCAAGATGGATAAGCCATATAACCTGCAAGCCTACCCAGTGCCTTTACTATCTTCTGAGCAATCCCTTCTTCCAAGGTTACCTCTGCTTGCTGTTGGTTGCTCACCAGTGCCTTCCCTTAGTCGCTTTCTATATTTTGTCTAGCATTTTTGGTGTTTTCTGCGGGAGAATTGGTCTCATAAGAACAACTCTGCCACTACCAGAAGGAGAATTAGGCCTTGGAGTGCTTACATAAAAATGCAGGTTCAGACGCCGCTGTCAGATTTGCTGACTCAGCAGGCTTGTGGGGAGGCCCAAGAACCTTCAATTTTAGAAGTGCTGTAGTTGACTCCACTAACCACACATTGGAAGAAAAAAAACCCACTTTTTCACAGCATTCCTGAATCATTCAGTCTCTGTTCAAATAATTCCCATCACATTTATTTATTATGCACATAATCACAGATAATCTACCCTATGCTATATTTATTTACCAGGAAAAATGACAACAAAAAACCGAAACTCAAAATTAGTGCTAGCAATACTGCAAAACTCTCACGTTCAACAAGGAGGAGGCTGCGTAAGCTCAGACTCAATGCATTGGTTTGTACGGTGCATCATGGAGCCAATGGGAATGGCAGTAAAATTTCCTAACAGCTTGAATCAAAGCAATCAGATTAAGGCAAAGTGGGTTTGTCCTTAAGCAGATAAAGGCCTGTATAAGAGGTTTCTTCAAAACACTAATAAGTTTTAAAAAGGGAAATTTTCTCTCCCCATGGCATAAAACAAATAAAAAATAAAATTAAAATTAAAAAGGGAAAGGACCAAGCCAGGTGAGACAGACAGGGTTTGAGAAAGTCCAGAAACTAGAATCCTGGCTATGTCTTACAGTACTAGATGTTAAGTTCCTCAAGGACAAACTATACCAACTTTTTCACTACTATAAGCTCAGTACTGACACAGTGCCTGGTAAATAAATAGTTGCTAAATGAGTAAAAAAAGAAATTTTCTGGGGCCAGGAAGTTACTAAGTGAGTGACCTGGGTCAAAAGGTAACAGGCATCAGAGAGAAAAGCCTCTCCTAATAGAACTCTTATCAGAAGAAAAAAATATCCTGTACAGTCAGTAATTAAACACAATTAAATCTAGAAAACATCAAAGACTGGCCTGCCTCAATTTCCCCACCAAAGCAGTGCTCAGTTCTTGCCCTTATTTTTCTAGCACAGATATTACAGTTTACACTTACTGTATTGGAATTTTCTCGCAATTCAGAATCTGTGGACAGAAGGCTCAAGTCACTCAGACAAAGTGAGTGATTTGTATCCTGTGAAAGAGAAAAAAGTCTAATTGAGTAACAAAAATCAGGATGTATAGTGGCATATCATGTAATAAAACACTTGATTACAAAGTCCCTAATGTTCCACATGTCTATGTGTGTTATATGAAGAAGTATAAGCCAACCAAAGCAAGGACTAAGTGAATCAGTTAATTTTTAAAATCCTGATGTTCTTAGAAGAATCTGTTACGTTTCTTCATTTCTTAAAGGTAATTAATAAAGAGTTTTAACATTATTTCATAACTAAAGCTCCAGAGTAACAGACCTATAATAATGTGAAATTAATACTATCTGTATACTTGGACTCATCATTTACAGTGATTTCACATGACCTCATTTGCCATTCATATAAACATTCATATATCCCATTTTTTATTCTTTTTATAACAAATTGCCACAAACTTATATTCAAATTTTAAATATGAGAAAACTGATGCTCACACATTGGGAATGAAGTGCCCCAAAACACATGGCTAATTAGCAGAAGACAAATCCAGTGCTTCTGACTGAAAAGTCAATGTTCCTTCCACCACTATGTCTCCCGCATGGGCACCAAAGGGCTCCTTACTTAGAGTGGTGCTGGGGATTCAGTACTCAAATCCCACTACCCAAGCTAAGTGAACTCTGGATTCCCAGAATGACAGTCACAATGCACATTTTAGGTGGTGGCCCTAAATGCTCCTTTTCATGCACACACTCAACAAACATTCATAATGCATCTACTATGTAATAGACACTGTTCCAGGCCCAGGGATACAATAATGAACCAACTAAAGTCCTTCCCCCAAAGAGCTTACGTTTATTTTTTATATTTTTATTTTTTACATATTTTTAAAATTTTTATTAAAAAAAAAGCCCACGGCACCCGGTATTCCCAGACGGTCTCCCATCCAAGTACTAACCGGGCCCAACCCTGCTTAGCTTCCGAGATCGGGCACGTTCAGGGTGGTATGGCCATAGACTGAGCTTACGTTCTTGTGGAAAGAGAGGACAAAAAAACAAATAAATATACAACGTGTAAGAGGATAAGTGTTACAGTGAGTAAGGGAGTAGGGAACTCTGGAGTAGGAGTTGCTCTTATTGGATGGTTAGGTAAGCCCTCTTAAGTAAGTGGCATTTGAGTAGAGAGTGAAGGAAAGAGGGTATGGGCTGTGCACATATCTGGGGAAGATGTTCCAAGCAGAGGGTACAGCAAGTATAAAGGCCTCGGGGCACAAGTGGGCACTCCTTAGTTCAAGAAACCACAAAGAGGACTATATGGCTGAAGTGAAAGGAAGAAAAAAGTAGGCTGGGCACAGTGGTTCACACTGTAATCCCAGCACTTTGGGAGGCCAAGGCAGATAGATCACTTGAGCTCAGGAGAGCAAGATTGGCCCAGGCAACATGGCAAAGACCCCATCTCTGCTAAAGATACAAAAAAAAAATCCAAGTGTGGTGGTGCATGCCTGTGGTCCCAGCTATTCAGGAGGATCCCTGAGCCAGGGAGGCGGAGGTCACAATGAGCAGAGATTGCACCACACACCAGCCTACGTGACAGAGCAAGACCCTGTTTCAAATAAAATAAAAATAAGAGAGAGATAGATGAGATCAGAGAAGCAACCAGGCCAGAAGGTGTAGGGCCCTGTAACCTACTATAAAGACTCTGACTCTTATTTCTATTGATACAAGAAGCTACTGGAGGCCAGGTGGGGTGGCTCATGCCTGTAATTCCAGCACTTTGGGAGACTGCTTGGAGCTGATCTCTATGTTAAAAGAATTTTGAAAAATCTATAAAAATAAGTAAAAATTTAAAAAGCTCTGGAGGGTTATGAGCAGAGGACAGATATTATCTGCTTTATGGTTCAGAAAGATCGCTCTGGCTTACATATGTAGAACAGTCTGTTACGGAGCGGAGAGGGGGAAGAGGTCCTATGAACCCCATTTAACAGGTTATTGCAATAATCCAGGCAAGAAGACAATAGTGGACTGAACAAATTAATCAGAAGAAATGATTGGATTCTAGATAAATTATCAAGGGTGAGCTGGTAGACTTTGCTGGCAGATGTGGACTGTGAGGGGAAAAAAAGGAGTCAAGAATGACTATAAGATTTTTGGCCTCTGCCACTAGAAAACCAGAGTTGCCATTTACCAAGATCAAGAAGACTGCAGGAAGAACAGGTTTGGACATGTTAAGTTTGACAAGAGTAGATGATATCTGGGTGGAGACATTGAGTGGGTGGTTGAATAAGCAAGTCAAGACACTGATCTTGACCCTGACTTCTTCCCTCTCACTAACAGATACACAGAGAAGACATTTTAATCTTTGACTGTGATACACGAACAACTGTTGATGATCTGTACCCAGATCAAGAGACAAAAACACTACATACCTCTAATCCATTGTGTTGTGGAAGGGCACTGTATGAGTGTCCTTTGTTATCGTGACCTTTCATGTGACTTTTGAGACTGTATTGAGTGCTGAATGTTTTCTCACAGCCATTACTAGGGCAGAAGAAGGGTCTTTCACCTGCAAGAATAACAAAGTAATATTAATTTACTATAAAGGCATACCTTTCCCTAACAGAGGAAAGTAAGTATTATTAAGAGAGTTTGGGTAACAGTTGTTAAAAGTTGAATAAATTACACGTTAATCATCTCAGTCCTAAAACTCAAGGCAGAGCAAAGCACTGGGAATCACTGCTGCTGGGAAGTTAAAAGAGAAGATTCGTTTCTCACAGGTTGTTTTTTTAGAGTGTCTCTGTATTGGTTTCATTTCTTTTTGAGACAGTCTCGTTTTGTCGCCCGGGCTGGAATGCAGTGGCATGATCTCGGCTCAACCTCCGCCTCCTGGGTTCAAGCAATTCTCTGCCTCAGCCTCCCAAGTAGCTGGGATTACAGGGGCCCGCCACCACGGCCGGCTAATTTTTTGTACTTTTAGTAGAGACAGGGTTTCACCATCTTAGCCGGGCTGGTCTTGAACTCCTGACCTTGTGATCTACCCACCTCGGCCTCCCAAAGTGCTGGGATTACAGGCGTGAGCCACCGCACCCGGCCAGTTTCATTTCTTAAGGCTGAATACTTGAGGTCCACCTCTGAAAGAAACTCAAACATTCTAGGTAAGGCTAAGCTAATTAGGCTCACCTGTATATATACAGGACATATATCTCTCTATATTCACCTAGCTTTACAGGTCTCAATAGAAATACTGATAGTTACAGGCTTGATGATGGTTAAAATAAAAAAATAAAAACTGGCCTAAACTCACCAGTATGTGTACGGACGTGAGTTTTAAGGTGGTGGCTTGCTGCAAATGCTTTTCCACAGCCATCGTGATCGCACCTAAATTTGTTGTTTAAGGAAAGAAAAACAGGAGTTATTAGCTAATAGACCTTTATCCTGAACATCTCTTATAAATACAAACTAAAACAAATATTCAGAACACTAGGATCAGATTGATGACACTGGTTTTAGAGATGGGAATGATGAGAGGTCCTTTAAAAAGTAAGGTGGCGTATCTGGGATCAGAGGGAACTGAGTGCCCAGGATAAGTATTTCTTGTTCTACAGGTAAGGCCCACGCTGAGAGCCCTGACAACAGAAGTCTTTTGATGAATTACTTAACAGACTTCTATTGACAGTGTCAGACCATATGAAAACTTTACTGCCAGTGGAACATTAGGAATATCAAGAGTGAGCAAAGTGGCTCTCAAATATGCACAGGGCTTGAAATAGAACATTAGAACAAAATCCGTCAGAAGACAGGCTTAAGGTACTTATCTATAATCTTGTGTGTTGAGATCTACTTCATTCTCTTTTACTGTCTTGATAACCAAAGCTAGAAGAAATCTTTCCCTCCTCAGAACTCCTAAAGCATTTCTTCACATTTCTTTTATGCCACCTCTCATTTCCAATCTTATTTTATCTCTGTGGATACATCTGCTATGTGTTCTAGAGTGTAAACTACTTGAGCACAGGATCCACATAGCTCTTTCTGTAGTTCCAGCACACAGCAGACATTCCTTAATTACTTATATGAATGAATGCATTTTCTTATAAACCAAAATATTTTCTTTAAATAGAAAGCTTCTCTAAAGCATGTTCATTTTTAATTACATATAATCATCATCATGTCTAAAGTCTTATTGAATATTCAAGAAAAATGCAGTTTTAATCATCATAAAAATAAATGCATGTGACTGGATAGAAATTAGAGTTCTCTCAGTAGCCTATGGGGGAAAAAGAATAACCTAAGCTTCAGAGCATCCATCTATAGAGTAATCAATTACAATCTAACTACTCTTGCCCTTAAAGGGATCATGACTCAGGAATCCATCTATAACTTAAAAAAACACATTTTTTTTTTTTTCTGAGACATGGTCTCTCTCTGTTGCCCAGGCTGCAGTGTAGTGACATGACCATGGCTCGCTACAGCCTCGACCTCCCAGGCTCAAGCGATCCTCCCATCTCAGCCTCCCAAATCTCTGGGACCACAAGCATGTGCCACTACTCCCAAATAATTTTAAAGTTTTTTTGTAGACTTGGGGTCTCACTATGTTGCTTGCCCAGGCTGGTCTCAAACTCCTGGGCTCAAGTGAACCTCCCACCTCAGTCTCCCAAAGTGCTGGGATTACAGGCATAAGCCGCCTTGCCCAGCCCACAATTCCATTTGATTGGCATCTAAGAGTTGACTGTCTCTGAAGACTTTTTTGTTTCTAAGTACCTAATGAGATGAGTGGTTTGAGAAGGAACAGGTAGCATATTTAATGCCTTGAATATAACTGTGATATTCCCTGCCAAAATTCAAAGACATTGTTTATTATTTTTATTTTTATTTGAGACAGAGTCTTGCTCTGTTGCCTAGGCTGGAGTGCAATGGCATGATCTCAGCTCACCGCAACCTCCGTCTCTCGGTTTCTGGCAATTCTCCTGCTTCAGCCTCCAGAGTAGCTGGGATTACAGGTGTGCACCACCACGCCTGGCTAATTTTTGTATTTTTAGTAGAGATGGTGTTTCACCATGTTGGCCAGGCTGGTCTTGAACGCCTGAACTCAAGTGATCCGCCTGCCTCAGCCTCCCAAAGTGCTGGGATTACAAGCATGAGCCACCATGCCCAGCCTCAAAGACATTGTTTGTGGGCAGTTTTCTACAATACATCTATCTATATTACATTTAGCGGAAATCTTTACAAACTGATTATCTCATTAAAAATGTCATATAATCATCCCAAAGCTGGTTTTGAACACCTACTGACTGCCCAGAATCATGCTACATACTATGAGCAGAGAAGAAAGCAGATAACCCAAGTCCCTCCTTGTAGTTTATAGTACTAGACAGTACTATAAACTTGTACATATAGATATACAAATGTTGTATACAAACTTGTACATTGTAGATATACAAATGTTGACATATATGAATAAAAATGGATGCTCCTATATGTTTGTGTATACATGAAATATTACAAAGCAATAACTTGAACAAGTAATAACGGCACCACTAAGCTAAGCATTCCTACCTCTCATTTCCTGTCTCCTCATCCCCTCCCCTCCTTGATTCTCAGGTAGGTATCCCTCCTCTGGGCTCAAGGCACTTTGGGCATCTTGCAGCCTCAGATATTATCTACAAATTTGTGGTTCTTTGTCACCAAACGTTCTTGAGAAGAAAGCCTGCTTCTGAGTATTTCTCTAGCACTAATAAAAGTACCTACCACATGAGTAAGTTTCAACAAATGCTTCTTAAAAATAAATGGAAAAAATGAGGTGGAAAGGCCATCACCCACAGAGTAAGGGTGTTCTTGGACTCCACCAGCACCCCTCTAATCTGCAGTGGTTGGTTGTAGCTATCCTGGTGTGAGCTAACACTGCCAAAGAAAGAGCTAGTAAATGAAGTTTTCTTTCTCTCTTGAAAAATTTCAGAGTATATCAAGACCCCCAGCTGAAACCTGGTCAGTGACAAACAGAAAACAGTAAGACCTACCGAAATGGCTTTTCCCCTGTATGGGTTCGAATGTGCTTCCTCAGATCACTGAGTGTGGTGAAGTATTTGCTGCAGCCTTCAGATTCACAGTTAAACGTTTTCCCTGTATGAAGCCTCTGATGTGCTTTCAGCCTGCAGAGAAATTCCCTTTGTCATAAAGATCTTCCTTTTTTTTTTTTTTTTTTTTTTGGAGATGGAGTTTCGCTCTTGTCGCCAGGGCTGGAGTGCAATGATGAGATCTCCACTTACTGCAATATCCACCTCCTGGGTTCTGGGTTCTGGGTTCAAGCAATTCTCCTGCCTCAGCCTCCCCAGTACCTGGGGTTACAGGTGCCCACCACCACACCCAGCTAATTTTTGTATTTTTAGTAGAGATGGGGTTCTACCATGTTGGCCAGGCTGGTCTTGAACTCCTGACCTCAGGTGATCGGCCCACCTTGGCCTCCCAAAGTACTGGGATCACAGGCATGAGCTACCATGCCCAGCCTCCCTTTGTCCTAAAGTTCTACACAGCCTCACCATGCCAGCTTAATGTGCTTCAGGATCAAGTGTGTAAGAATTCTATACCCATAACATATTAGTATCCAACATATTTTGCCCCAAAAGAAATTCAGAGAACAGCATAGTGGTATGAGTGTTAACTCTGGAGACAGACTTCCTGGAATTCAAATCCTGGTCCCAGATCCTGCTTGGCTGGGGAAACTTGAGCTAGTTATAGAACCCCTCTGTACTCCCATTTACTTACCAGCTGTTGTGGGGATCAGCACTTAAAATCATGCCTAGCACATAGTGAGTACTTCTTAAGTGTTAGCTATTGTTATTTCTGTCATTTTATACTCAATATTAAAGACTAATAAGTCTCCTGATACAAATGTGGAAAAGAGAATTGGCTACTGAATGGGCCACTTCCCGTTTCTCAGGATAGAAAAGTCCCTTCTTCCTACCGAAAGAAGACTACAGAAGCCTCACTACAAAGATCCTGAGCCAACGGGAGATAGTACTCTATGCCAAGCACTAAAATGCCAGGCCAGAAGGCTGCTCTATGAGATGCAAATCTAAACATAAATGTACTGTCACTCCTAACCAGCCCAAGACATGTCCATCTTTAAGTAACAAGTTTCTCTAATGCATTTTTAAATTTTTTTCTTTCATTTTCTGAGATCTGGCAGAAATGAATTTTACACAGTTGAACATAGCTGTGCTCTTTTAAAGCCGTGAAAGTGAACAACTCTCCTCTGAAAGGAGAAAGAGCTCGTAGTCATAACAAGGCCAAGGTCAGAGGCTGGTAGAGCAATGGAGACGAGGCTGACCTGTACAGTGTGTTGAAAGCCTTCTCACAGCCCTGCACGTCGCACTCAAATGGCTTCTCCTTCGTGTGCACTCGCACGTGAATCCTGAGGCTGTAAGAGGTAAGGAAGGCCTTGCCACAGCCCTCCTGATTACAGACAAAGGTGTACTCTCCTCGGTGAGTCTTCTGGTGGGTTCGCAGGTTGCCTGCTGTGCTGTAGGTGCGGGGACAGCCCTCAAAGGTACATTGGTACCGCTTTACCTGGCAGACAGAAGACACCTCATCAACAGAACAAAAAAGCTGCCCGGGGCTTAACTCCCCTACCCAGAGCTCTGCTCCCAAGATATGTGGACAATACAAATGGGTTTTCATCATAAACACAGAAGAACAGCCTCTAGTGGCAAAGTGGCAAAACCTTATTATTGATCAAATCATGCCTGGACAACACATAATGATTTACGGGGAAGAAATCAGTCTATATGTACGTGAATATTCTAAATGAATACAAGAGTGTTTTCTTTCTTTTTTTTTTTTTTATTTTTTTTTATTGCAAGAGTGTTTTCAGACTATATACACCTATCTGCTAAAAGTACATTATACTGTTACAGCTACCTGTATTCAAATAAAATCTTAACTTTAAGGCTTGACTAAACACCTTGACCTCTGGTACTACAATTTGATCGGAACTGACCAATATTAAATTGAGTCTAAAACATCTTGAAATTTACATACTTATTCATCAAACAGTATTTCCCTAGATCGTTTCTACTGCATATTTTCAAGCCTACAAAATGACAACTAAGTATTGCAAATTTCTTGGAATATTTGGTGGTGTGAAATTCTCAAACTACCAGCCTCTTGTTTCCTTTCACCATCAAACTTCTTGAAAGGGGAACCAATTCTTCACCTCATGGTAAAAGGTTAAGGAAAAAAAAAGAGAGCTGCTTCTCAGACAAATACCAAATGGCCAACGACTCTAATGCAGCAGATGGCCTGGAGGGCCTGGAATGGGAGGCGCAGCAGCTTCCTCAGAGGCTTTGTTTGACAGAGATATGTGGGCCAGGGTCATCGCTGTGGGTGGGCTGGAGCCAGGGCTGAGGCCACGGAGTTCTCAGAGGCAAGGCTGAGAACAAGGAGTGAATGCCGGGCTGCCTAGTCCAGGACACAAAGATCAAGTCCCTGGAGGAGATCTAGCTCTTCTCCCTGCCCATCAAGGAATCTGAGATCACTGACTGTTTGCTGGGATCACTTCTCAAGGATGAGGTTTTGAAGATTACACCTCTGCAAATGGAGACCCGCACTGGCCAGCACACCAGGTTCAAGGCCATTGGGGACGACAGGGGCCATATCAGTCTGGATGTTCAATGCTCCAAGGAGGTTGCCAACGTCATCCAAGGGCCCATGATCCTGGCCAAGCTCTCTACTGTCCCTATGTGGATCACTGAGGGAACAAGATCAGCAAGCCCCATGCTGTCCCGTGCAAGGTGACAGGCTGTTGTGGCTCTGTGCCAGTGCATCTTATCCCTCCCCCACCCCATCCCAGGCACTGGCATCATCTTGACCCCTATGCCCAGGAAACTGCTGCTGATGGCTAGTACTGACAACTGCTACACCTCAGCCAGGGGCTGCACTGCTACCCTGGACAAAGGCACCCTTCAGGCCACCTCTAAGACCAATAGCTACCTGACCCCCGATCTCTGGAAAGAGACTGTATTCACTAAGTCTCCCTATCAAAAATTCACTGACCATTTCACCAGTCTCTGTGCAGAGAACCCAGGCTGTGACTGTTACTATAACATAAGGATTTTACACAAGAATAATAAAGTAAATTGAGCCTGTTTAAAAAAAAAAAAGAAGAAGGCTGAGTGTGGTGGCTCATGCTTGTAATCCCATCACTTTGGGAGACCAAAGCAGGAGGATCACTTGAGACCAGGAGTTCGAGACCACCTTGTAACACAGCAAGACCCTGTCTTTACCAAAAACAAACAAATAAAACCACAAAATCAGCCGAGCATGGTGACACACAGCTTTAGTCCCAGCTGTTTGGGAAACTGAGGTAAGATCGCTTGAGCCCAGTTCAAGGTTACAAAGAGCTATGATTGCTACTGCACTCCAGTCTAGCGGACAGAACCAGACCCAGCCTCAGGAAAGAAAAAAGGGGGGAAGAAGAAGTAGATAAACAATAATACCAATAAAAATACTAATAAAGAAAATACCAGCCTGGGCAACATGGCAAAACCATATCTCTACAAAAAATACAAAAGTTAGCCAGGTGTGGTGGCACATACCTATAGTCCCAGTACTTAGGAGGCTGAGATCACTTGAGTCTGGGAGGCTGAGGCTGCAGTGAGCTGTGATCATACCACTGCACTCCAGCCTAGGTTACAGGAAAAAAAATTACATTTTGGGCTGGATGATTTAGAAAAGAAAAAAAAAAAAAAAATTTTTAAAAATTTAAAAAAAAAATGGCAGTTGACACGTGTGCCTCCATTTCTGTCAATGCCCATGTATTTCTTAACCAGATGGCAAGGTGATTTCACTGTATGAAATTATGCTTTTAACTTCCTGGTAGTCAAACTCTTTCAGCCTTCCCTATTTTCCTTACTATTCGCAAACATATCTCATTGATGATGCCCTCAGTGTCTGAAAACTTGTCCTTCACATCACAGTAATGCCTTGGGGCACTCTTTAACTCCTCTGAGACACTTCTTTCCCTTAAACTCTAAGTGCGGGTGTATTCCAAACTTTGTCTCTCATCTCCCAAACATTCCCTATATCTATACTGATGCAGTAGGAGAAGCATTAGACTTGGCAGCAGAAGGCTCAATTCTGACACTTTTGTTCAACATAATTTTTTTTTTTTTAGATAGAGTTTCACTCTTGTTGCCCAGGCTAGAGTGCAATAGTGCCATCTCGGCTCACTGCAACCTCTGCCTCCCAGGTTCAAGTGATTCTCGTCCCTCAGCCACCCAAGTAGCTGGCATTACAGGTGTGACACCATGCCCAACTAATTTTTGTATTTTTAGTAGAGACGGGGTTTCACCATGTTGGCCAGGCTGGTCTCAAACTCCTGACCTCAGGTGATCTGCCACCTTGGACTCCCAAAGTGCTGGGATTACAGGTGTGACCCACACCCAGCCTCAACATAATTATTGAGCAAACAATTTTAGTTCTCTGAGTATCAGCTTATTTCTAAAATGCAAAAATGCATGCCTGCCCTGCTTGTCTCACAGTGCTTTTGGGTGGAACAAAAATAGATAAAGCATTTGTGAAAATACTTTGTGAATTATTTGATGCCATACAACATCACGGTGTTAGTATTATCTACTCATTAGTTTTAACCAATATCTTCATGTGCATAAAACTAATCCCAGTCTTTCTTCAAAGCCTTAGTCCATATATCCAACCACACTACTACTATTTTAATATTTAACAGTTACTGAATCACTGTGTCCCAGGAAATATGCTAGATACCACGGATAAAAAAGTAAACATGACAAAAGTCTCTGCCTTTAAGGAACAGCACTTGTATGGAAATGAACATGCGTAGCAATCATGATACACTGTGCTAAGCTCTACAGCAGATACATACACAAGGTACTTGGAGAACAGGAAAGAGGAAACATCTAACCCCTCACAGAGTAGAACTCAGTGAAGGTCGAGAAGCTGAGGTATTCTCTCTGAATTGAGGATATTTTTTGCTTGTCTATTTTTTAAGGATTAGCTGGAAAGGTGCTCCTCAGGTCAACCAGGAAGAAAAGGACCTTCCAGAAAGAGGGAACAGCGTGGAACTACACAGAGAGAGGAGTACGTGTGCTGGTATCGTGAAACCACAAACATCTGCAGTATGTGAGAGATTGGAAGAAGAGTCTAGAAAAATAAGGCAAGGCCTCCTTAGATAAGCAATAGAGTGAGGAATAGGACAGTGGGGAAGTTTTAACCAAGATAGCAACACAATCAGATTTGGGTTTAGGAGAGATCATTCTGGTATCCTTGTGGTGAATGGACTGGAAAGGTAAGAGAGTAGAAGAGACAGAAATGAAGAAATGAGGAACAACAGTCTAGGAGAGAGACGAAAAGGGCTTGAACAAGGGAAGTGACAGTGAATATCCTGAGGTAAATTCCAGAGAAATTAAGTGGGGAGAAACGACAGGCTGTAGAAAGAACTGGATGCTGAGGAGTGGAACGGGTGGAGTGGAGGCAAAGCTAAGATCAACCCCAAGACTATGGCCTTCATGATTAGATAGATGGTACACTACCAATGTGGGGCTGGATGGGGACTGGGGAAAGATGATAAGTTGGGCTGGAGGTGCTGCTAGGACTTCCAGGTGGAAATGTCTGGGAGGCAGTTGGACAAACACGCTGCAAGCTAAAAACAAAGTCTGTGGCAGGAGCCACTGGCACACAGTTAATAGCCGACTTAAGCTATATAATAAAGCAAGCTCAGGCTCAAGTCCCTTCTGCCACTTACTGTGTAATTTTAGGAAAATTACTTAAACTCACTAAGCTTCAATTTCCTTATTTATACTATGCAGGAAACAAAATGATCTTTTTAGGGTTGTTGCAAGGGTTAGGAATAAATGTGTAAAGCATTTTAATATAGTGGCTGGCACATAGTAGGTACTCAATAAAATAATAACTCTCCTAAGAGGACAAAGGATAGACCTCTAAAAGTCACCAACATTTAAGGTACTGGTAAAAGAAGAGAGACCCTTGGCCAGTGAGTGGGAGAAAGGGCTGGGGAAGTAGGAAGAGAAACCAAGAAGAATGATGTCACTGAAGCTAAAGGAAAAACGTATCAAGGAAAAGGAATGATCAAAATATTAGATGTCAGAGCAAACAAGGAAGATAAATGGGAAGTGACTGGATCCAGCAGCTAGGATTTCACTAATGACAGCAAGACTAGTTTCAGCAGACTTCTGGGGTCAGGGTCCAGATTCAGGTGACCCGAGGGAAAGGTGAACTGGAGGCAGAGGCAAGAGATGAATTACAGCAGGACAAGTGAACTTCTGAGTTGATAAAGTGTTTTTGTTTTTGAGACAGAGTCTTTGTTGCCTAGGCTAGAGTGCAGTGGTATGCCCACAGCTCACTGCAACTTCAAACTCCTGGGCTCAAGTGGTCCTCCCTCCTCAGCCTCCATAGGAGCTGGGTCTACAGGCACATGCCACCACACCCAGCTGATTTTTAAATTTTTTGCTATGTTGCCCAGGTTGGTCTGGAACTCCTGGCCCCAAGCGATCCTCCCACATCAGCCTCCCAAA